ACAGCACTGTGCTTTTGCCCAGCTGAATTGTTTGGCCTATCCCCTTTACACGGGATAGCTGCTGTCAAGATGCTCTATTGAAAATTGTACCTTACCACTTTGTAAAGTGAGGTTGCCAGTCAGAACCCTCTGCAGCAAAGAGCATTCCTATCAGTGCTGTATGTTTTCTGTAAAGTTAATTACATCGATACAGTACAAGTCAAATGGTTTCTTTTTACTGTGTTACAATAGTGATTTCTGTAGAAACAGGAAGTAGTTAAAACAAAGTCCAATAATTTGGCAGTGAAATAAGATCACTAAAACTCACCCATGAGACAATCTCGCTAATATTTAATAATTCTCAGTTTTTTTCCTTAGTATAGAACTAAATCATTTGACCTACTACTCCTTCCTCTTTTAGAGGCAGTAGACTCACTTCACAAAAAGTTTTCAAAGAAACAGTCCTTTTTTTCCACTTAGACAACCTCTCATGTCAAGTCTTTGCTGTAACGTAAACTTCTCTTTACTCTTCCATGTTTCTTCAAAGTGCTGTAGTTAGCACCCCATACACTATTCTGAACAGAAGTTCCTGAAATTCAGCACTTCACTGTGTACAAAACATCTCTGAGTACACATAGCATTGGCACAAATATGGGCTGCGAAATACAGTTCCACATTTGTTCTGTAACACTGGTCATCTGTCACGAGTCTTTACCCCATGTATACAAATCATACATTTCCTGTATAAGACATGATATAATCAAATGAACTGAAGTTAATTTGGGAAGGGTAAAGAAATGGAGAAAAGTTTATTAATTTCTCTTCTAATAGCATCAATTTATACCAGCATAAAATTATTTTTTAATCAAAGATCAGATCAAGGTGCAATTAGTTACAACATCACACAACCTCCAGTGTTTTGCTGCTTTGTCAGCAAAATTAAGCTATGTCAGTGATAGTAGTTGGAAAAAAAAATAAGTCTATCATGTATTAATGAAGTCATGAAAATAATTTAACTGATTTCCAAATTATTGTAACTGACCAAGTAATATTTTTTTGTCATTTTCACACTCTATGTTAAATCACATCAATTTAAACTATTTACTTTCTCTGTCAATTCAAAAATTTACAGAGCAAATGAAACCCAAAGTCCTTTCTAAAGAGGAAAACAAGACAAGCTCTGCTACAGAGCTCAGCATCATCCCCTCACTCAGCGCGGAAGCATGCTTTCAGATAACGTTTTCTTCCACGTTTTGAGGAAGTTTGCTTATTCCGTATTTTTCTCTATTGTTTGTATTCTCGATCCCGAAAGAGTATTTCTATTTGGATTCACCTCTGCAGTCAAGCCCTTCACGGCTGCAAGCCAGGGAAAGGCCTGTAACTCAAAGGGCGCAGGAAGAAGGGGTCAATTAAGTTTTGTTGTTGTTGTTGTCGGACTACCCCTCCCCATGAGTCAGACCCGACACGCTATGAAGTTCAGGCTGTGCTCGGCGCGGCCGCAGGCTTCGCCGGTCCCCCTCAGACCAGGGGCTGAGGCAGGCGGGGGCCGGTGCGGCCGCCGGCCGGGGCCGCCCCGCAATGGAGGCGAGGCCGGCCCGGCCCCGCGCGGGGCTGTCACCCGCCGCCGCCCCGCGGCCGCCCGCAGGTGTCAGGCACCGGCGCGGCGCCCGCCCTGCCGAGAGCGGAAGGGAGGGAAAGCGACGGGACCGAGCTGCCAGACGGCGCGGGGCGGGAGAGAGCGGCGGCCGTTAAACGCCGCGGGGAGCGGGAAGCGGCGCCCCGGCCCGCCGGGAAGAAAGGCGTTCCCCCCCCCCACCCCTCACCCCCCCCGCCCCGGTCCCCGCTCACCCGCAGTCCCAGCAGCGGCGAGGGAAGAGGGGGAGGGAAGGCGGCAGCGCGGGCCGGGCCTAGACAGCGGCGCTGAGGGCGGCGAGACGGCGAGGGTGGCTGAGCCGCCGCCGCGGCAGGGAGCCAGCCGCGCCGCCCGCCCCGCGCGCCGCCGCCGCCTCTCGGCCGGGCCGCCGCCGCGCGCCCGCCGCTCGCGAGGAGGCCCCGGAGACGGGAGCCCACCAGGGCCAGTCCGCGAGCCCCCGGCGCGTGGCGGCGCGAGCGCTCGCAGCGCCTCCAGCTCGGCGGCCGCCGCCGCCCGCCCCTCCCCGCGCGCGGCCCCGCGCGCGGCCCCACTCGCCGCCTCGCGCCGCCGCCGCCGTCGCCGCGCGCTGCCCCGGCTCCTTCTCCCCCGCACAAGCTTGGCGGCGTCTGGCAACCGGGTGCACCCATTGGCCGCCGCGCCGCGTGAGGTCAGTCACCTTCCCTCCCGCCATTGGCTCCGTCCCGTGTGTGTACACACGCCGCCCGCCAATCCACGGCGCGACGGAGAGGAGGGGCGGGGCGGAAGGGCGGGGCCAGCGGAGACCCGCGGCCGCCGCTCCCCGGGGCCGCGGCAGGCAGCTCCGCCGGCCCGGCCCGACCCGGCCCGCCCTCAGGGCCGCCGCGGGCCTGCGGCGAGGCGCTGCCGGTCCCGAGGAAGCGCCTTCGCTTGTGTTGACAGACGCAGCACGGCGCCGCGCTCCATCCCGCCCGTGGAAGAGGCGCGGGCGGGCGCTGCGGATGCGATGTTCAGCCCGGCCGCTGGTTTGGGCGCCCCCGGTGAGCGCGCAACCGGCCCCGGGGGCGAGCCGAGGGGCACCGGCGCCGCCTGCGGCACCTCTGGGCCACGGTTTCTTCCTTTGAACGTGCCCTGCGACAGCGCCGTAATTTCCTTCCTGTGAAACAAAGGATCTCCCGGCAAACAAAGGGCTGGTGTTCCCGATGAGCAGCGAGGGCGCAGGGCGCGCTTCGCTCCGGCAGCCCCGCGGGGCACAGGGCGCAGCCCCGCCACACCGATGCCTGCCTGGAGGTGTAGGGGCCGCTGTTAAAGCTTTAAGTGTTTGCTTTCAACCTTCTTAAAAGATTGATTTCAACAAAGTAGGATTAAGTAGTCTTACAGGGAATACGAATAGGAAACACTACTGGGAATAAAAAAACCGAAGTCGGCACTCATTCAATTCAAAGTAACGATGCAATGTTTGCTGAAGTCTTTCCCTTGTGCAGCTAGGCACGCATCCAAGGCATGCAGTAACCCATTTTTCAAATTTCTATAACACAAACTCACCTTAATGGCACTGAGCAAGCTGAGCACAAGGTTTAGGTGGATGCACAAACACTGTTTTGGAAAACTCTAGACCACACACAGAGTAGACCAAACATGTTTTCCTTCCTTTACAGACATTAAATGCTCTAGAAAGACTACTTGATCTTATCCCCTTTACTAAAACGGGAAGCATCAAAAAACAGATGTTCAGCCAATAAAATATAGTTCTTAAAGGAAGGACAAAGGAAAACATTAGCAAGCAAGAACCCTATGTTTACTTCAGTGGGATAGTTCACAACTGAAAATCTAGCGTGTGCCCAGGAATTTGCTGACTTTGTGGTTTTAGTTTCTCTTCATCCTCTATGAAATACTTTCATCATATGCAACAAGACTTGCATCAATATTTGCAGTGTTGTGCAAGACAACTTCATGAAAACATTAAAAAAAATTGCAAACTATTGTGTATTCACTTGGAGACACCTCTAACAGGTACAACAATCACAACAGCTAACAAAGGCAACTGAAACATGCCCCCGACAGAAGCACAGGAGGCATGCACTGCTTTAGAAAAGGAAGCAAAACAGAAGCAAACCAGGTTGGCTTGCTCACTCCACTATTCAGTAAGTTGCCTGAGCTAAACAAATACTTGAACTCAAAACCCAGCCTCAATTAAGACACTTCTGCTTCAAATCTCTCTTTTTAGTTCAATGGTTTATCGGCTTTTCTGCAAGAACACCGATGAACTGAGTAGGAACATGAAAAATAGGCATTTTAACTATTAAGGAAAGTAGAGAAACAGAAGAAAGGTCACTGCTGTAGTCTGCATTTGCTTTCAACAGCAAACTGCAGAATGAGATGACTATTGAGTCTGAAGCTGTTGAAACAATGATCAGTTTTCATGAGGATAAGTATGCTACTGCTGTAGCATTCTAAACCAATACTTAGTCTTTCAGAACTTACACAAATGCCAAACTTTATCCTGGAATGAGGGCTGCACTGAAAAACGTCTTGAAAGTGTTTTTTTTTTCATCATGCTAAGGCATAGGGTTAGCAGCTACTTAAAGCCTGGCCAGGGGGTAGTTCCCACATCTCCCTTCAGAAACGGTCAGTGGTCTCCCAGCCTTAGAACAGCATCTTGCTCCCTCTGGCTGGTCAGATCCCGCACCTACCCCTCTCACAACACACTACTTTTCAACATTTGCTAGTTTCACTGTTGCCATCCCACAACCCTTCCTGTGATAGCCTGTACAATAAACCAATCATAACCCAAAACAGCCCCCCAGACACCTCCTCTCTCCTGATAAATTTACCCCCACTCCCTGTAAAACCTTAAAACTAAAATGCTGCCCAACTTCTGGGTTAGAGCACTACCCTATTTCCTGACTCAACCTGCAGTACTGACATACCCGTTTTTTTGAAGAAGGAACCACAACTTTGTCTGTAGTTTTTGGCTTGGACCATTAAGAGCACAACCCCACCTCTGTTCTATGGCCCACTGACTGGCAAGAAATGGTTGTTACCTCTTTCCATAAGGCTGCTGTTCAACTGCTGAGCCTCTGTGCTGAGTCCTGATCCTAGCAATAGTGAGACTAGTTGAAGAATCTTGCTACAGAGATTATACCAAAAAGATGCTAGCAGGCTCAAAGAGCAACTCAGTGTTTTCCTTTTTCACTTTCTCCTGACAGGAGAGCAAGTATAAATGCTCTTGTCAAAAATAGATGAGAGCAACTGAATTAATTTTACATAAAATTAGCTGTTACAGGAGAGAAGAAAACACTGCTTAAAAGAAAACAGTACTCAAAAATCTTTGCAAGGTTCATTACAGTGAGATTTTAAACATAGCTGACAATTCTTAGTTATGTAAGAAAACTCATACAATGTCTGCTCAGTATTTTCAACTATCTTAAGACTACTTTATCTGCTCTTCCTCTTGACATGTAATAATTAATCCAACAGTAGCGAGATCCCTCCAACATTAGAGAGATTTTTCATGCCATGTAGTTCCAACCTATATAATAGGACTGTATGTCATTATGAATGATTAAACCGCCAAACTAGGATGAAATTATCTACCATCAGCACCATGTGTATCCATGAAGGCAGGATGCCCAGAGATCATTAACACATCTCTGAACTGAATTTCCCAATCTTCACATGCCTGATGAGGTACCTTACTACGCAATCCCAAATAAATCATTCACAGTCTCAACATGCTGTATCCCTTAAAACTACAAACTAGTTACTATTTATACTTTTTGTATTGTTACCTCTACTACGAAACTCAGCTGACAAGAAATGTAAAATTGTGTATGCTTTTCCAAACTGGTGAAAGCCACCCCCGAGGTAAAAATCTCAAAATAAGTAAAAAGAACAGCAGTAAAAGTTGTTATATTTTAAATAAATGTTAGTATGAGTGAGGATCTACAGTGGTCTTAATGCCCTTCTGTGTAGCAGAAGTGCCTGTAAAAGTGTACTGAATTGCCTAAAGCTCATTTCAAAATAATTATCAATTAACAGGTACCACTTTTAAGATTCCAATACATTAAAAATTTCCTGGAAAGATAAAATGATTTTTTCTTGTAACAAATAAGCAAAAGAGGCTTAGCGATCGGTAACTGAATTTCTTGAAGATGTCTATTACCCTGTTCAGTCTTTGGGAAACTATGCATCACAAGCTCTGGTAGATGCTCTAACCTCCAAAGGCTGCTCCATCTTGGTAGACTTAAAGACACCCTGTTTGTGTCAGACTTACTCACTAGTTTGAATCTCTCTGTAACTGAACACCCAACTATGCAGATCATCTGTAAGGCTCAGGTGGTGAATATAGTTAAGCCCTTTTTGTATCCTTAATTTGCAGTGAAGTTTCTCTCTTGTAAACTTGAGGCCAGTGAAAGCAAAACAGGTTAAATTTCCTGCTTCAAATTAAACAGTGACACTGATAAAGAGTTATCCAGAATAGGTTCTCTAGACACTATCTAGAGCGAGATGATTACGTAATGTCTTGACTATCTTCTACCTTTCCAGCTGTACTATGGCCAGGATGAAAGCCACCACTGTGTAAAAGTGCAGTGTAAGGCACACAGCTAGCTGAGCTACCTTTAGTGAAGGGATCGGAACAGAACTCGATTCAGGTCCCATGAGACTTCCATCTGGGAACACTGCGGGAACCCTAGTCAAGTCCAGCAAAACCACAAAGCTATTATGTGAGTGTAAGTCAAGTAGCCTTCAGCAAGAGGATAATAGGTGGACATTATCCCTAGGCAGACTTTGATGAAACTGAACTCCTTCAGTGAGAACAAGATGTAGAATACCAGCGACTGAGGTACAAACTTCTGCTCAAAATGCCAGACTGAAAGCCGTTCTGTTTGGCTTAGTAGAACCTTCTTGCCAAGGAGTATTTTCTTTAGCAGTAAGGTTGAGATGACAGAGGAAAAACACAAGCTAAATATGGGTGCTAAACCAAAGCAAATGTTCCACATATCCTTTAACTACAGGTTCTTACCATTTATGAGGTTCCCTTTATATTAGTCTTGGCACCTGGAAAGCCATATGTTATGGTCAAAAAACCTAATGAAGTATCTATACAGTTATCAATCATATAGATCATGTACTTTGCCATATTACTAGAAATCAGCAAACAGAGCTGTTTCTGGACTTCAGTTCAGGATTCCCATTAAAATTGGTTCAGGAGAGATTGGTATCTCTGCAACTTCAAGGATACCCACAGGAAAAAAAAAGTGCCAACATGTAGCACAGGTTGAAGGACAGAAGAGTAAGAAAAATAGTATGTTAAGCTAAGCGTGACAGGCAAATAAGATCTAGCTTGAAGAACAGCTGCAGTAGATACTCCAACTCATGGTAGGTGACTGAAAGAAACCGAGGGAATGGTGTATGATTTGACCTTCTGTGGTTAAGCATGAGAAGAATTCAATGATAGTCCTTTGGCCCTCTTCAATAATGTTAAATCTATAAACATTTATTGTCTCCAGTGTCTGTGGAACACAATCACCCACAGCTTGAATCTGGTATTATTCTATAATGAAAATGTTTAATCAATTTACATTTTTGAAACTGATTTACATATACTCCTGAGAAAATTGTAATTTAAGATTAGTGATAAACAAATACATAATAACTATGCATGTAATTATAACTTCTTTAAAAAAATATAGAAGCCATTCAGAGCTTCAAAAATAGACTTTTGACACTCTTTCAGCTAGTAATAATAGGATTTAACAATGTGATTGAAAATACTAATGTTACAGATTTTTCCAAGTTAGCATACCTGTAACTACTTTTAATGTATTTGTATTAGCCAATATTTTTTTTTTTTAAATTAGCTAAAAGCTAGATAGGATCCATCAGCTACAAAAATCCTGGAGATTTTTTTTTTTTTAAATGGAGTACTGAAAGCCTATTTGCCCCTGTATTTAATCTTAATTTAGTGCATAAAAATGTCATCAGATAGTTGGGTCAAATGCTTCCATAGAAAGTCAACGAAAAGCTGGTAACAGGCTACTAATAAGAAAATATCTTTGTACACAATCAAGTTCATTCCAACCCACCCCCCAACAATCATTTTACATTTCTTAGAAATGCCTAGGGAAGTGTATGTGCCTTTCACCCCTCCTTGATGATTAACATACCAAAGATTTTACAGATACAAAGGGAGGCGAGTTCCTCAGTAGAAAACCCATCATAGGAAAAAACTCCCCATCTCTAGTACACAGTAAGATTCAAGCAGCTGGGCCACCCGAAGGAGGTCACTGAAGGGACACAAATACTGCAGCTGGACTACAGCTGCTACAGGGATGACATGAAGGTTCATTATGGCAAGTAATCTAGCAGAAGGGGGTACTGAAGGACTGTATAACTTTATATATATACCATCACAAATTTCAGTTATGTTTTTAGTGTCCTGTTAATGTCAAGATTTTATAAATATGAATGAAAACATTTTAATTCTTCCTTCATTAAAATGCCAATTTCTACCAGTGCAGGGAGTGTTTCATTGCTTGCAGCCAGGTATCCATAGCAGGTCTGTATTCCTCTGAGTCCTTCCGGGGCTCAAAAACGGCTTCTATTTGCCTTAGTTTCTTTAGTTGTTCTTTGTCAGTCCAAAATCCTATAAACAGAAAGTTCATTCTCAAGCTCAACTGTAAATATGTTATTTTTGAGTTGTTCCAATTTATTTTCAAGAGATCCAAAGCAGAAACACAGTAAGAAATCATGCCAGCTTTTCTTTACTCAATCAACAACTTTCTCAGAGGGAAGCATATTTTTAACATTGTGAAAATCCTTTCCAAGAGCATCCACTTGTTTGGAATCCTGACAACAGCACATCTGCTTAACTGGGACAGTTTCCAAGGAACAGCTCTGGTACACTGAAGTTCCCTTAGGTTTCATCCACGCTGTGCTTTCAGCTGCAGGTCCCTCTCAATGAAGAAGGGCCACAGAAACAGAGACTTAGCACTAGTTGCTTTCCTACTGTCTTCAAAATTGCATAAATGGCAGAGAACAGCTGGTGTTATGTATTCAGATGAATTTATGTTATTGAGCCATTCTTGTCTGCCAAGGGTTGCAGCTTTCTTACAGTTTTAGTTGCTAAATAAGTCTTACCTGAACATATAGTTTTTATCTTCCAGTTGTGTTATTTACATATCAAAGCAATTTAATGAAGTTAATGGAAATGATTTTGTAGGTGGATATTAAGCAAAAGCATTGATAGTGTGTAGTTTTAAGTCTGGTTAATTATATACAACAATTCCGTGTAAAGAGAGCTGTTTGTTTTGTTTTGGTTTTTTCCTCCCTGTTAATAATTTATTTTGTACTTCCACTGCGCTTATTTCTGTGAAAACCTTAAAGAATAAAGACTCAGTTCACAGATGACAGGACACAGCTCCAGCAGGGCTGACACAGCTGCACGTAAGTGTGGCAGCTTCCTCGCCACGTGATCCATCCCCACCGCGCCCCGCGCCAGACTCCACCAGTGTGGGGAGGGATGCGGAGAGCCCGGGTCCAGAAAGAGGGGGGCAGCAAAGACAGGGTTCACCTCTTTCTTCTCCAGTAGTATATACTTCTAAACGTAAATGAATCTTACAAACATATACGCAGGTATCTTTCACATTAAACTCACTGTCACTATTCATTTATGTAAAACTAAACAAGCATACAGCTGCTCAGCAAACTGGGACACTGTCTTAGAGACACAAATAAGGTCCATGATTTGGTTTATGACCTAATGACATTCTCATCTGTTTCTTTGGTCCATCTAATACAAGGACATGGGTACAAAGCACTACACAGAGAAATATAAGCACTACTTACCTTGGACTCCCACAAAAATGGCTGAAGTAATCCTTTGGGTAGTTTTTAAAATTACTTGGAAGTTATGCCCTTTGTTTTTCCAGAGTTTTTTTCCTCCGTATTTACAAACATGCATTAAGGGAAAAACAAAGCCCCTTCAAATGTATACATACCTGAAGCAAGGCCTGCTAGAAAAGCTGCACCAAGACTAGACATGTCTGCATTTGCAGGCTTTTCTATTTTCTTATTAATTAAATCTGAAGTCATCTGCATAACAAAACTATTATTACTGACACCTCCATCAGCTCTATAGGGAAAGGGGAAGAAGAAGGTAAAAAAAAATGCTTTAGTTTAAATGCTTATTGTCAACATTTCAGAAAACATTGTCTGGGGTTTCACATCTATGCATAAATCTTTCTGTCACTCATGCAAAAAATGCATTTCTATTTTACAGGCAAATTTAGAGACCAGCACAAGGTGCCTATTAAAGAATGCCTGTGAACTGAAGGTGGAATGGTAAACAGACAGGGACACATTATCAAAAGCTCTGAAAGCTCTGTTTCTAAGACTATACATCATCCTGGTTGAAATGTTAGGGTTTGTAACAGAACCTTTACACAGTTATCACCACAACATAACAACAGTCAAAACCATTACATTAAACAAACACTTTCAAGTGTTCGCAGATCTGGAAGAGTACATTTTTCATTACTACCAAATCTTTGTACTAGTTAGCTTAAAGGCCTTCATAGGTGATTCTTTTTATGAGGAAGATGAGAATGAGGCTTCCATCTAGCTATTTTCCTTAATGCAGCATGTCAGAGACCCTTTTAATGAAGTAAACTAGAATTTATAAATGCTGATCTTTAGTCACCTGAGACTGATTACTAGCGGTGCAAAGTAATCACTCTTGCATACAAGAAGTAACAATAACAAAAAGCAATCTTTGAATTGTCATAGACTGGCTCCTTATGCTGTCGGACTCCAATACCAGCCAGGTATGGAGCTGTTCTATCAAATGTGGTGCAGTAAAGACATCTGCTGTTTATTTTTATAGAAAGTGTTGGATAATAAAAACTTAACAGTTGCTTAGAAATCTTCGATTCAAATATACCAGCTGAAATCTTCTATATACTATGTGATGTCTCAGAAAACTTTTGCACAAATGTTTTGGCTGTTTCTGGAAGTAAAATCAGGAGACACTGCCTGATTGGTGATGCTCAGGGTTTTGCTTGTCTGTACGTACAGTTAAGCAGGGTTATCACCACTACACTATGGCATAAAAACCTTTAACTGGCAATCACTTTCTTAATGCCAGTAACATGCATCTTCCTTCTTCTGCAAAAGACATCCATTTGAGTCAAATTACAAGGGGGAAAAAAAAAAACGTATTTCCAAATACTCAGCTTTACATTTAGCTACATTTTGCTGCTAGATACTTAGAAGAATCAATCTGTACAGTGTATCTTCTGGCTCAAAGTTCCTACATGCCATTTGACTGGGGATGTGCTATTTCACAGAACAGTAAATGCGTGACATTCCAGGACTCCAGGAGGGACTACCAGGATCATTCTTGTAAAGGCTGCCACAGACCACTACAACACGAGACATGAGGACAAAAACTGAGGGTTCCTTCTCTGTGCTTTCCTTGATGGTGTTGACAGAAGCAGAGAGACGTAACAGGAACATAGAGGACTAATGAAAACAATGACTTTGTAGGAGCTTGTAGGAGCCAGAGACTGGGAAAGAATGAGGGATACAGGACAATAGCTAAAAAGGGAAGTAACATATTTATGGGATAAAACCAACAACAACTGAAAAACAAATGTAATGGATAGATCCTAAAGATATGTGGACAAAAGGATGGGAGAGCGGTTTACAAGCCTCCTGAAAAACCCGTTAAGTGTATCTCATTATCTTCTAATGCTTAATCCACAAACTGAATTCTTACTGATTGTAGTTAACTATTACAGTCGCTATATGAAACAGTAATTTTATATTAATGAATAAAATAGAACATGATCATACAATTGAAACTTCACATTAAAGTGTAAATGAGATCAGAATTCTAATGTTCCCTAGTCAGTACTTCCACAGTTCCCATTTTTCAGTTCAGTCTTAATACAAGTTCTCAAATTCTGGATGCAATTTTCTGGATGCAATATTTTTTACTCCTTTCAGTGTAAAAAAGCATCCTAAGGAATAAAAAAATTCCAACACTTGTCATATTTTCCTCTCCATTAAAACCCCAAGCCTGGTTGTTCCTTCATCTTTGCCTATTCTGTCCCAGTATGTGATGGAAGACAGAAACTTTTACCTCCTCCTACTTTGTACTTTCACTTTTCTTCCACTACTCGGAAGTCCGATTTCTCAACTATCTACATGCCTGCCAATCTATTTCTTCCTTTGCATAGGTACCAGGAAAAAAAGCCACAAAAGGGACAGGAACTGTTTCCACTCTCTTCTTGAATGTGGTATTACGATGACCCCTGGCTGCTAGAAGGAGAAATTTTAGAAAGCTTTCTCAGCCTGAGAGGGCTTGAGGCTCTGAGACAACTAGCGCGTTCAAAGCAAGTACCTACCGAAGCCTGCAGCGTAGTTCTCCAGCAATATATAATTCAGCTAAATTTTTCCAAGACATTGTGAAAAGCATATACTAGGGATCACAGTTACCTCACTAAATTTGATTTGCTTCTTCAAAGACTGAAGCAAAACCAGTGTCTTAATTGAATTGTACAAATATTCTCCCTCTTTCCCTCACAAATAGATCCAGTTTTAGGAACATCTTCAAGAAACATTCAGTCTGTAAGCAGCCCAGCACAAAAACTTTCAGTATGAAAGAATGATAATAAAGAGTAGAATGACCTTTGTGGTTGGCATTGCTATAGGTACTCTAGTACTACCTGAAAAGATGAATTTGTTTTGTTTTGTTTTTTAAATAATTAGAGCAGTTTATTGCTCATCTACCGACAATCCCCAATGACAGTAGTTTAATTGAACCATCTCTTCTGTGGGTAAACTCTACTGTCACTTAAGTTACATTAAGACTTGACTTGGTAATAATGTATTTCTCAGCAGCAGAAGTTTTACAGTAAGATAAAATTGCATACTAACCTTCACAGCTATTTAAAATCAAACTTCCATACATCAAATCTAAAACTTACACAGAACTTACCGAATTGTTTGAAGAGGAATGCGTACCTTCTTCACAATGATATCATAAAGCTGTTTGTTTCTTTAAAAAAATATTTAGTTGAATTAAGCATTATATATTCCATAAAGTGTTTCCAGTATCTACATAGTCAGAAAATAAAATACAAGGCAAAAATGCCTCAGTTGGGTCAGAACTGCTGCAATAGCTAACAAGTTTCCAGAATGTATAAATAGAAAAAAAGAAGGAAATAAAAAAAAAAACCAAGGCTGAAACTGGTCTTTGTTATACATTATTATGAAGGCACAAGTATGACTAAATCATGGCCCATTCTATAGCAAGTCACTGTAGCAGGTACATTTTTTCCACCTGAAATTGCTGATAGGTTTCTACAGACAAGATGTAACAAGTGGTTTAGAGTGAGGAAAGCAGGCTGACAGTGTTAATTGGAGTTTATCCAGCTGTCCTTTAAAGGGAGCATCTGAAGACTGCAAGTATGACTTGTTCTGAAACCATTTCATTTAATAAGAGAAATTCTAAACACAAAGGATCTCCACCCTTTTCTAGTTAAGTATTTGAATGAGATGAGATTCTTCAACATCCCTTTTTTCAAGAGAACCATAGTTCAGGAATTATTGCATCTCATGTTCCTCTTACAGTGCATGAAAACAAAATGCATTAGAAACAGCTGCCAGTATTCATAATGTTACCTTCCTCCAGACATCATTTTTGCCTCTTTGCAGGAGGTTATTATGCTCAAAGCAGAGCTGGTAACTAGATGGAAGGAATCATGTCAGTGGTCCCTAATTGCCTACAGTACAGGAGCACCAAGATTTCAAACTTTAGCTGAAGAGCTAATATAAAACCTCCAGCTTCAGGGATACTTTAAACCCAGCCAGGGCGGGCTACAGCTTTTGTCAAAACACTGTCAGGAGAGCAAGGACAAACTTTAAGCAGAAAAGATTCTTAGAACATGTAGAAAACAATATAGTTCAAGAATCTCTATATGGTTACTTAATAACAAAAACTCTCAACTAATAAATATACATGAGTTTAATTGTAAAGTGTTAATGAAAAAGAAGGTAATCTGCTAAAACTCCTTTCAGTGTAACAGCAATAGACTACCATTTATATTTTTACAAACTGCAGAACTCATGTATCCATTTAATAGTGCTGATCAAAGCAAAAGCAAACATAAGGAAATATAAGACAGATAATTAAGCAAACACTACCTGAAAGCTACAGATTCCAATATAGCTCGTACAAGATGGTTTCTGGTAGTGGAAGGTTTCAGCCCCATGAAAGAGGCACATAAATACGGATCATTCACAGAAACCTACAGAAAAGATTTCACCATGACTTCAGTGGGCTTTTGCAGGCTTTTGAGGAAGCAGTCAAATAATAAGAAAAAAAATAACTTACGACAATTACAGGCAGCATAGTGAAAGAAGAAAATTGAAAACAATATGTAAGAGGTATATACTGTTATTTTAGCTAACTCTGTGAACAGTTTAAACAGCTTCTTTCAACAACAACAGGTTCAAGTGACTTCTTCCAAATTTTATATACTAAATAATACTAATCTGTATGACTTCTCTTTAAAATACATACAGTGTACACTGTAAGTGTCCAGGACAAGGCACACTGATATTGATGTTCTCTAGCAAGATTTCACACACACCTTTTTTAACACAAGATGAACTGATTTTTAAAAGTAACACTGAATAGAAAGGTAATACTTTTTGTTAGTTTATACTACAGCCTGTTTTCAGTGACATTGATAAACATAGCCCAACTAAAATTCTAATGGTCACTAAAGTTGTCTTTTTTTTTTTTTCAGGAGAACTAGAGGATCAATTGATGAATCTCCTCTCCACCTCTCTACTAAGCTGATGCTCTTTATCACAAAATACTAGTTTGCCGGTTCATACCTGATTTGTGATAATGATAAATCTTATTTTCACTGTAGACAGCAATTTTTAAATTGAAACAATCCTTTCCAGTAGTATTGTGTTAAATATTATGACAAGATTTACCAGAAGTTTGAATTTTATGCTTATAAAATACATACACATGTATCTATAAAGTAAGTTAAGAAAATGCTATCATATTTTTAAACCAAACAAACAAAAAAACCCCCCAAAACAAAAACCCCAAACAAACAAACAATCAAAACACAAACAAACAAAAACCAAACAAAAACCCAAACAAAAACAAAACACCAAAAAACCCCTGTATGGATACATACACAAAACAAAAGGAAAACCGGCATTTCCGCAGAAGTTCCTAAATAGAAGAAACTTCTTTATTGAAGTCAAAGAAAATACTCTTTTTTTTTTTTTTTTCATATACAAGTACCCTTCCCATTCTAAAAATGGAATCACTTGTTCAGCCCACTAGCATAAGGAGTCATGGCTTCCAAGTTTACAGATGTTCACATACAAGATAATAAACTAAAAAGCACAGACTTGTATTCTACATAAAGGTGAATATCTTGAAAGAATCAATCATTAAAAAAAAGAAGAAAGTAGTAGTGCATATATATGCATACACTCCAGTGAGGACTCCTAAGTTTTTGCTATTACTATTAACCCCAGCAAATTAAGCCCGGAAACCCCAGTTTCTAGCAGAATGATTAAAAGGAAAAATGACTAATACACATATTCACTCCATTTCAAACGCACTTTCACAATGATGCTCCTCTCAGCATGCTGCACCACAGCAGTAGAATGCAGTTCTTACTGCCTTAATATGGAAGAACAGAGAAACATTTTACTTTGTGTAGGAAATGAACATACAAGCTTCGTAAGAACCCTCCCTAACTGCTATCATTCTGAGGTCTGTGAAGCAGTATAACTGAACCAATCTGTGTTAGCATCTAGCCAGTGAAGCTAAACAGACACATTATAGTCCCAGAATTGTTCAGCTCTGTTTATGTCCCTTTTCATACCATTTAATCAGCTCAGTTTCTAAACTGATACAGATTCTGTTACTGTGAGTCTACTAGCTAAACATGGTCTGCGGGAATAAGCAGGGCTTTTAAAATCCACATTGGTGGATACTATTAGTGGTTACTAGATGTCACAGTCAAAGAGAAATCCATTCAGTTTTCTAAGTACAGCTTCTAAATTGGGACTGGGAATATTAGAATTAGGGAAAAAGGGACTGAATCAATGTTTACCAAGAAGCTAGCTGGGCTTCCTTCTGGGAGACAGTGTCAAGAAAGCAAGGGGGAAAAAACCCGCAAAGCAAATCAAAAGCCAAATAAACAAAAAATAAGTCCTACCAACATCTCTAGAACTTGAGTATTAATAGAATTAAAGTTTCAGACTAACATTTGTCTGCTTCAGGATTCCTGCCTGCAAATATTGGAATTTGGCATGGCTCAACACTTGCTTATTCACAGCACAATTACTCATGGTAAATGCTAAACGGAAGCATCTTAGCACAATCGAGCTCTGTACCCCTAAAAATAAATCTAATAACTAGGACAGCTGTTTGAGAGAATGTAACTGGGATACCTGTAGAAGAAATTTTTCTTTGTCTTGTTCCATTAACATACAGGACTCGCACAAAGGTAAGGTTAAAGATGTTAAGTTTCTTTAGGAAAAAACACTCATCCCGGGAATGACCAAACTGAGTATGGTAGACCAATGAAGATTAACAAAAAAAAAAAAAACAACCCCCAAAAAAACAACCAAACAAAAAGAACGTTCAGAAACACACAGGTGTGCTGGTATACATTCAAACCAAAGAATTACTAAGACTTCTAAGAGAAAAGTCTACCATATTCGGTTTGGTCATTCCCAGGAGAAGTGTCTAAACATTACTTTTGCTTTTTGTAACACCAGGACTTGCAATCTTGCTCATATTCAAGTATGTTTAAATATTCTGATGAATTGCAACCTACATCTTGAAAAGAAGCACTGAATGCTGCTTAGGAGTACTGTCTTAGTGAAGGCACTGCAGGAGGCAGAAAAGCTATGGGATTGGTTTCTGTCTCTGCAAGCACTGCCTGACTTCCTATGGGCAAGTCATTTAGTGTATCTGTCCCTCAAGTCTCCACCTGCAAAATGGAAGTAATTTTCCTATTTCATAGGGTTTTTCTTATGGGGAGGTGGTGTTTAAGCATTCTGGTGTGACAACAACCTTCATACGTTGTGGTGAAGGACAGAAAATAAGAACCTGAGTAGTACAGAATAAATACTGTGACAAGATGTAAATTACTACATTTAAACATGTAAAAGTTAAAATTTTAACTGGGTTATTAAAAATATAATCTCAATTATATTAATAATATTAATTTTACCTGAAAGCCTGGAACAAAACAAACACCTTGAGAATCAACAATACTCCGTGCCATTTTTGCTGTTTCATCTACATTGGTGAAAAGATCTGTAAAGACACATAAGTCATATGCTTTTATTATTTACTTCAATTTCTTCATATATTACTAAGAGACAAAAATCTAGAGTTAGACTATTTCCTTCTCTAATATTCTGGAACTGCACCTTTTACCAGAAACGATCACTTCTCTTGTGTTCCAGGTCTATCAGTCACATTAAAAAAGACCCCAACTTATTCAGTTGAAGACCAAACTCAAAATGATCCTCTCATATTTCTTATGCTACAGCCTTTTAATCTTCACATCCTGTAAGAGGTCATTAGCTTTCCAACAGACATAAATGGGAATTGAGAATGCTAACATAGTTAGGCACCCAACTATGCTAAAAATCTGGATTTGCAAAACCTAAACCATGTTTTTCCCCCCAAAGATGTTATTATCAGCCCAAGCACCAAATGACTACAGAGAAAGTCTTAATACCTATATTTTATCAGCACCCTTAATACTCTTACAAGTGACTGACATATAAATAAGGTAGGTCCTAACATCACCTCTTTGATAGACACTACTTTTGTTCTCTGTCTAGCCAGATGTCTCCTTTCACAACTCTATACACATCCCTCTTCAGCTTGTTCTTCACCCACATGCAATTCTTGTACTATCACCCATCTTCTGTGGTTTTACCTAATAATCATAGAATGGTTTGGGATGGGAAGGACCTTAAAGATCATCTAGTTCCAACCCAACTTCATGGACAGTGACACCTTTCACTAAATCAGATTGCTCAATCTGATATAATGTTTTTATGTGGCCACATAACATGTTTTTACAGAAGACTAGAGGTCTCCTGTAAAAGAGCTATTGTTTTTTCTTGTCTAAAAAGTAAATTCTCCTATCAAATATAAATTAGGTTAAATTAGGTTAAAGTAGCTCAATTTATCTTTGAAAAACCCATCCTGGTAACTTACCAAGAGTTTCAATTTATCTTTGTAACTTTCATAAACTTGTTTGAAAGCTTTGGATTCTACTGTGCCCAGACAATAAGCCTAAACCATATCATCTTCTTGTCGTATTTACCATTACTGAACTATGTATAGTACCTCTATGTCAGGACAGAAAATTAAGAAATTAATGAAGATTGACTTTACCTTGAAATTCCACATACTACTTTTTCAAAATTCTTAGAAGTGATCTGATTCCACTAAAAGACCATTAAACTAGATTTGTCTTTCTGCATAAATTCCTATTTCCAAACCTTTACTACTATTATATGTCTCATCTTCATCCCTGTTGAGCCTTACCATCCTTACCGAGGCCATTAGCTTAACTTGTGTTTTGGCTCAATTCCTTCTGTAGAGCAAAACTTACACCCTTCTCTTTATTCATAAAGGTGATAAAAGTTTCTGAATTCTGCTTCTCTGCAATCATATTTCCAGGAAATAAAGGTCTTACTTGTTAGAGAGTTTAAAGCAGCATGCCTATTCTTTAATCTCCCTCTAAAGCTTCCCCAGTTTTTGCTACCACAGGTAGCACCTATAGGTCATGTCCATTTCACTACTGGCTAACAAGAAATCCTTTGTAGTCTTGCTCTACGTATACCAATAATATCAATTTTAAGTATGGATAAGTTGCACATGGGTAAGTACCCACTGTAAGTATGGAATCTGAAGCAGCAACCTTATATATGTACCACTGATACTTGTGTCTGCAGCACTGAACTGTACTGAATTGAGTAATTTCCTCAAAAGACTAGTCATTATTCTCTAGGCTTAGTCAAATGCTGAACGATGAAGGCCTGAGGACCAATCTGAGTCATACTTAATCCTCAGGGGCACATACCTGGGCATGTATATGCACACATGCACCAGAAGTTGACAACTTGAAGAAATGTGGAATTTTGTGGTAAGTTACACTTCATGAAAACCTTTCCCAGATAACCCAAAGTTTGAGACACTAACTCCTTTTTTGCATCCTAGTAAAGATGTACTAAATTTCAAAGTAAATCAAGTAAATAGTTTGTCATAGAATAACAAGTTGAAAGGGACCTCAAGGATCACTGGCTCCAACCTTTCTTAGCAAAAGCACAATCTAAACAAGCTGGACCAGCACCTTGTCCAGCTGAATCTGAAAAGTGTCCAATGTTGGGGAATCCACCACTTCCCTGGAGAGATTATTCCAACGGCTGATTGTTCTCATTGTGAAAAATTTGCCTCTTGTGCCCAGTCACAATCTCCCCAGGAGTAACTTGTACCCATTACTCCTGGTCTTTTCCATGTGACTCCTTGTAAAAAGGGAGTCTCCATCTTCTTCATAGCCACTCTTTAAATACTGGAACATGGCGATAAGGTCTCCCTTAAGCCTTCTCAAGGCTGAACAAACCCAATTCTCTCAGCTTTTCCTCCTATGACAGGCTTCCCAGTCCTTTGATTATCCTTGTGGCCCTCCTCTGGACCCTTCTCCAACCTGCCCACACCATTTTTGCATAGTGGGAACCAAAATTAAACACAGTATTGCAGGTGTGGCCTGACAAGCGCTGAGCAGAGTGGGGTAATGACTTAATCTCTACTGGTGATATCCTTGTTGATGCAACCCAGCATCTTGCTGGCTTGCTTTGCTGCTGCAGCACACTCATCACTTCTATTGAGCTTGTTGTTCACCAGGACCCCCAGGTTCCTTTCCACAGAGCTGCTTCCCACCGGAGCAGATCCCAGGCTGGGCTGTACTCCTGGATTATGTTTTCCCAAATGAAAGGTCTTACATTTGTCCTTGCTGCACTTCAAGAACTTCCTTCTTTCCGCTTCCTCATACAAATGATAGATATGCCAACCAGGAATGAGGCACTGTTGGACTTGCTACTCATAAATCAAGAAAGTGGTTGCACTTCAACTGTTTTTGAGCTTCCAGGAGAGCGTTCTTGAAAAACTCCCAGCACTTGCTAGTTCCTTTATCCATGGAAGCTTCTCACTGAATCCTTCTCAGTTGAGCTCTGAGTTAGCTCAAGTTTTCTCTTCTAAAATATAAACCTTTTATCTTAGTACTAATTGTCAGTGTGCTCAGCAGGATCCCAAACTCCACAATATTGTGATCACTGTAGCCAAGGCTATCACAAACCAAGACACTATAAAGCAGGCTTTCTTGGTTTGTGTAGCAAGTCCAACAGTGTCTCATTCCTGGTTGGCATATCTATCATTTGTATGAGACAGCAGTCCTTTACACGTTCAAGGAACTTGATGGATGACATGTAAGCTGCTCTATTGTTCTTCCAACAAATGTCTGGGTAGTTGAAGTCACCCATAAAACCCACATTCTGTTTATTAAAACACTCAGAACGGTTGTCCTATAAACAGAGGTTTTGAACATCAACTACTACAGAGCTAGTATTCTCCTTAGTCTTTTATTGAACTGGAATGCAAATCTTTTCATTACATAACAGTCACAGCAAAAAAGGCACAGTACCTCCATGTGAAGCAATCTACACAACACCATTACTTTAAAAAATAAAGTCGTTCATGTTATTTTCACGTAATTCAAACCCATTATTAATTCTTAGATGTACAACTAGAGATCTCTAGAAAACATTACAGCAAATGTTTGTAGAACACTGCATTTACAATCATGCTACCTAGATGTAATCAGTAGTCAATTTCTGTGCTTCTCCCCAGCTAAGAATTCAAGTCCGAATACCTTAAAACAGCACACATCTAACTTTAGACTGGCCTCCTTTACACCATTTCTATTCAAGTCTGGATACCAGGTTAAAAAAACAAAAGAAGGCATCAGGAAGTTTGTCAAGATCAAGAGAAAGCAAATAAGGAGTAAAATGTTGCAGGAAAATAAAAGCCTACGTAGGTCAGAGGGTCCGAGAGGCAGTCTGAAGAGACGACGACTGTGCAAAGCAAACTCCCTGTAGTAAACACACTCAGCAGAGAACCTACTACTGAGACCGTGCATCTTCCACTGTCCAAAACATGTAGGCTAGTTTCTTCAATTATGGATAATAAAACCAAGCTCAGTAACATAACTATAACCCCACATAAAACAGTTTAAGTAGTCATATATTTTACCCTCTATAAAATTAAAGAACTACTTACTTATATCCTGAGCCCATTTTATTGCAGTGCCAATGTCGGACATACAGCCTTCAGTTAAGTAAACAACTTCTTCCCCAATCTTCCAACCAATCAGTGGATACAGACCTTAATTATTTTCCATAAAACAAAACACTGAGTTAAATTAAATGTTTCCAGAAAACCATAAACAAGCACCCCCCACAATAAACCCAACTAAAAAAAAAAAAAAAAAGTGTATCCAATTCCTTTGCAGAATTCAAGCTAAAAAAAAAACATCACTGATAGAGGTTAAATGTAGTGTTTATAACTTTAGTGATGGAATTATGAGCAACTCAAACAACAGTTTCTTAAACTGAAGTTAACTTTAAAAAAATAAAGTCACCATGAAATTTCAAGACAAAACCCTCTTTAAGCTAAACAGAAGAGCTATTTGCACTTTTTTTTTTTAATGATTGGAGATTGTATATACTTACAAATTTATCAATGTTTTCTTATTTGTTTTAAATCCATTTGATTTTCCCCAGTAGTTTCTAAAAAGTCAGAATTTACTTCCCCACAACATAAAACATGAAAGCTGGGCTTTCAGATTGGAAGTACAAACCCTAAACCAGACATACACAAAAAAAGGCAACACAAACTTAGAACCTAGATCTTAAGTCATAGAAAAGGACGAAAATTCCTTTTTTCAATATGCAATGTTTCCTCACACAGAAAGCAAAAAAGAAAGGAAGTTTCACAATTTGCCCATCGTTGTCCCCAACAAAGGTTACTGCCAGTTAACTATAGCATGTTACCTGTATGTTTGACTAATGTAAACAACCAAAGAGCCAAACTCACTAAAAATGTTTGGTGACATATTTTGTCTATAAATACAAAAGATAAGCATTTCTGTGGTTCACATGATGGGATTTGCAGGAAGTTTTGATTTCCACCAAATAGTTTTGCAATGACTCAAAAAAAAATCCAATTACTTAAATTTTTTTCTTCCTTTTCTCTCAGAAAACAGACAGAAATACATAAGGCAAACACTGTTAGTTTATTTGAAAACACAGTACAGTATCTTTCAAAGAGCTGTCTGCTTGAAGGTACTATTACATTAGAAATAAGCAGCCAATAATGGAGTTAAACTGACTATTTGTTCTTGCCTTTGCTCCCCCACAATTATGTTGAAACCTTAACAAAGACAAGAGAGACATACTACTTAAAACAGACAGTGCGAGCACAAAGACCTTCTTGTTTGATATCTGCATTAGCAAGAACATAGCACAGAAGTTCTGCAGAGTTCTGCTTTTAATGCTAGAGCAAAAATACTTTGTTATCTAGGTGAACAGTACATGTTCTCCAGCACTGCAGCTGGACAAACTGTTTTTCAGGTCACTTAATAAGAACCGAAGCATTCAGTGGCCACTACAATAAAAACTTCACCCAACCCAAGTATGGTAACTGTCAGAGTGAAGAAAGAACTCAGATTTTATGGGACCCTGCTCAGGACTCAGATCATGGGTAATGCAACAAAAGTAAATGAGTCTCAATAACTAAAGGACCAGAAAAGCAGCAGAAGGATCTAAGGATTTCCTCTGCTTTCTCAAGGTGACTTTGCTGATATACAAGTGTGCCTCATAAAATCATTTCCAGTTTGCCTGCCTGCGTCCAAAACCACAGTATGGTAGTACTAGTGCAATTGCAGAAACTTGGTTAGTGCTGGAGGCACTCTGGTGCTTACAATGGAAAACAACCAGCAGCACCTATTTAGATTAAAGCCTGTATTTGTCTTTTGGAAGGAAAACAAAGTGATATACATATCTTCAGATCGCTGGTGCAGGTCTCCTTTACAATCTTTGTTTTCTACCAAAGGTAAAGCTGCAAAGAAGCAGGACCAAACAATTCACTGAGGCAAAAGCCCTAGAGGAGGACAGCTAATTAGGGACAGAGAAGCCCGCTGCGTGGCCCTCCTAAAGATGTTCACATCAGTCTCCATTAGTGTAAAATAATCTACCCCTAGGGAATAGATTAATACAACACTTGGCAGCACCAGAGTTACTAAGAACTATCAGACTGCCAAAGAGGTATTTTAAATCTATACAGCAGGTTTACATTACTTAATTGTGAGAAGTGCTATTCTTGAAGGAACTATTTTATTTTTTTTTTTTAAAACTGTCATATACAGCAACTAAGTGTAGACCAGAAATTAGAACAGCAGCTAATGAATAGCTTGCACAAGGATGCTGTAGGGATTAATCTTGCAGTCTTAAATACATGTCAACTTTAAAGACTGAACATATTACGTTTCATGTCCAAGGCCCTGAGAAAGCCAGGTACTTAACTTGTCCTATTAACCATACCACACAACAGCCAAAGAACACAGAGAAAATAATTTTAACGCAAATAGCAGCCTACAGCAGTAGAAGTTTCATAGCACTGCCTTAAAGATGTCAACTCCTATCACATCACAATAGCTAAATATTTTGTTAAAAGAAAACAAAATGGAAAAACCTTACAGCCTGTTTCTGCTATTACATTTTCACAGACTACATACATATGATTTCCTAAATAAAAGTATCATCATAATGACATCGTTATTTAGCTTAAAAAGCATTTGCATTCAATAGGTAATTCACTGTCTATGCTATTCAGTTCTGACACATCTCATGTATTAGCCAAGGGCGTTACAGACTTTAGCTGGTAAAAGTCTCCTCAGCATGCTGCTGTCCTCCCTAGCTGCACCCCTCCCATTTCAAATCCTAGGCTTCCCAAAATTAGTAACTCTAAAAATATGACAGACAGAGACTGTGCAGGCAAATTTACTTCGGTATTGTCTGCTACTCTCCTGACAAACAGCCACCTACAACAAATTAACATGCTTGACAGACCACAACTGTTCAGAAAACAAAGTTGTAAACACTAGAAACACACTGGGGAGCCCATTTCCAGCATTTTAAAAGAAAATTAGTAATTGCTAATCCTGCATTACCTCACTGCAGGTACTTCACAAAGCATAAGGGCTCAACAGGAGGAACTTAGAGCGATCCACTGGAACATTCTGATGTGAGATGCCAGAGGACCAATCTCCTTTTTCTCTATTCCTGTACTGTGTAACAGTGCTATCAAGGAGAACAAGCGACGATGAGGAAAAAAAAAAAAAAAATATGGAAGGATGCAAGTAGCAGACGTAATTACTAGTGATGTTACTTAAATTCTCTTCTTGAGAAGCATTTCAAGATAACCAAGACCTAAATTTCTAATTACAAATTTCCACAGTCTTCTGTTCTTAACACACTTTCAAGCTGCTTTTCTACAGTGAAAGACAGAAGGAAAAGCATAGCTGTTTTATCCCTTTTCATACCCTCACCATTAACAGCTGTGAAGTAAAATGAAATACTCTAAATCCAAAATTTCACTATCTTACCTCTCCATGATGCAAAGAGATGTTCTCCCGTATTCACGTTCCAGAAACCACCTGTTCCCATTGTCAGTTTAACATCTCCTGGGTGAAAGCAGCATTCTCCAAACATAGCTGACTGCTGATCAGCTACCTGCAGTCCGAACAAAAACATTACAAGAAGTTAGCTACCAACTTACAATGCTGCTGGATTTTAAAGCTTCATTGCAAACAATTCAGAGTTCTGAATACAAATACCCATTCAGAAAGAAACTGAGCATTAAGAGAGGACTCATACAGAATTTCTTAAGTATTTGTAGGCCATTTCAACAGTCAGATTTATCACTAGAATCAAATACCAGGTCTGGACACAATGTGAATGCCTGTAGTATTGCTTGTAACAATGAAAAATATGTTATGGCAAGAAAACAAATATTTTATGTTTTAGTATTTGACAAGGATAATGGGGTATTTGCAATCCCAGGGAACAAAATGGAGTAGCTTGAAGTTTTGAGGTCTCACCTTCCTTTTTCCCTGCTATCCTCCCTGTACCAAATTATTCCATGCTCAATTTTTCAACAACGATGGTTATTAAATGTATTTGCTTATGTTTGTGCCTTGGTGAAATAGTAAATTTGCAGATAAATTGAGTCTACAGTTCTTTAGAAATAGCAGGAGAAATTCACGTTAGCTAGGTGACATTTTTTCCATTTAGCTCAATTCAAGCAGATTTTTCTGTAAGTCATCACTTTACAAAAACCAATGGATTTTCCTTATCCAAATCCTAATTACTGAAGCAAGAACATGTTATTCACCACTTATTTTTAGTGAAAAAAATAAATAAAAGGTACCACAAGTGAATCTATTAACAAATATATTTGTGGAGTCTTACTGAAGTCAAGCCACAATGGATCCCATAGCACAACTTTACATACAACAACTGATTTTCAGCCAGAGACACATTACCAGAGTTTAGAGCAGAACCCAGATCTGTTAAGTCCTACATTTGGTGCCTAATCTAACCTTAATGAACCTCAACCTCTAGAAATCCCTTCCCATTCCTCTCTCCTCCTTTTCCCCTAAGGTCATAAACTGCATTCTTGGAGAAAATTTAAACAACCAATTCTGCTGCAGTTAAGTCACAGAGAAGGAATAGGGAATACTTACTAAACAAGTATTAAATCAAAGTTAGATAAAAATAATACAGGTACAAATATACAGATTTAAGTAAGAAAACATTTTCACTCACCATTGCCATTATTGGAATAGGTACCCCAAATATTTCAGAGTCAGCTGACCCGAAGTTGAAGCTTAAAACAAATGTTATGGAAAAACATCACTACACTAAATGGATGCTTTTGTTAAAATGAAATCTATATATATATATATATATAAGACCTGGGTTTGCATTACATATGAAGGGTAAGGCTACCAATTAATTTTAAAGAAAGGATTAAAACTATCACTCTAAGAAATACTGGTAGTAAAGTTTTGGCTGTAGTACTGGAAAAGTGCATCTGCATATAAAGTATATATATATTTTTTTTAGCTATATATTACTTCACCTGTGCAGATTATATAGTATTTTTCTAAAGGCAATTAATTTAAAATATTCTTTCACGTTCTTTTGAATATGCCTTCATAGTTACCTTGTGTCTTTCACTGGTGGATAAATAGACATTGGAATAGAAAGTAAATTAGACAAAGTGGGATTCCAACATTTCTGAAATAATACAGAGAAAGGAAAAACATCAGGAACTCTCAAAAGCAAAATAAATAACAACATTTTTTTCTGAACAGCACATACCGTAAAGGGTTCAAAAATGCCTGTAGCACTGGCATTTGAGTAATCTGTAGCATACACAGAACCTACCGTAAAAAAAAAAAAAAATAAGAACAAAGTAAGATTTTAGACATCCAAATATTTAAAGGTTGTTTTAAACATACCTTTTCTTTAAACATCTCAGTGGCTCCCATGAAATATAAACTGAGTGTCTCTAGGCAAAGGCTTATACCTAGATAATGACACAATGAACACACAAACTTCACCTGCCATTCACTATAATATGAACATAATAATTACCTTATTTTACCCTCATGAAACTGGCAAGAAGAGAGCCAGTACTTTTAACATGTATCACACTGACTGCATCACTGTCTATCATAATCTGTCCAACTGCTCAGGCATTAGCCCTCAGGACAGAAACTTGTAATTCTTCCGCATCTGTAACAATTCTTTGTTCTTCTGCTTTCACAGGTAGCTTTCTTCAAGTAAGGCCAATCAGTTCTGGTAGTCCTCTTTAAATCTTAAATGCTTAAAAGATTGATTACACTGAATAATTATCTCCCTTTCTGACTACCCTTCCTGGCAGGCCCAAGGAATAACTAATACAGAATCTATTTTTTAAAAAAACTACATCTATTACAATATTCATCAATTATTTTAAAAAAAAGCGTAAGTTGACAAAAAAGTATTTGATTTCTAGGATATATCAGTGACAGTCATGAACATTATTACTTACAATCCAGTACATTTTATTAATATTTAAGAGGAACTGTAACATTCACCTTTAGTCAATCTATACAGTAACCATGTGTCAACAGTTCCAAAGCAGCAGTTATTTTTTTTGGCAGCTTCTTCAGCCTGGGAACAAATACATATACAAAAAAAAAAAGAAAAAATTTTACAACTGGATACAATAGAGGAAAATGTTTCCTCATTCCTTTTCTCATTTTCTTTGTGGTTAATGATATTGTCCCTAGAAAATAAGTGTCTGAATGCCAATTTTTCTTCTAAAAAGGGCAAGATGGTTATGGAAGTAGTACTATCCTACAGTTTGTGTTCCTAACAGAGAATAAGCACAGTTTCTTACAAGTGCTCTTATGAAATGCAATTAATCTTCCACTGTAGTGGCATCAGAGCCTTAAGAAGGGAAACTTTATAGTCACAATTCTAACAGTGGTGAAGGAGCGGTGAATAAAGAAAACAAGGTCCAGCACTTAAAAAATTAACAGAAACAGAATAAATAAGTGTGTTTTAAAGTATGTGCTTGACAACAACAAAGACAGAGCCACTGTTTTCTGGTTTATGATGTCTGTAAAGAGTTTGCAAAATGTTATTTTCCTTGGGATTTTTTTCCCCTTTAAAATAGGAAATTTAGGTTTCATCTAATTTCTACTAACTGACGTGTACAACTACAGAATTCATGAACAGAACATACAAACTAATCCGCTCAAAACGTGACTGAATACATGATTCTCTGTAATTAAGAGCCAGGAATTTTTGAGCTTCTTGGTTTGATAGTTACATATTTTAAGTATCCACTGATACTTGACAAAATATGGGAGAACATTCATCTCAAACTGAAAAGTCAGCAGCTGTATAACCTTCAATTCTATAATCCTCCAAATTCACACCTCACAGTTTCAACAGGTCCAACCAAAAACATGACAGTAAAAAATTATACTTGACCCTCTCCATAGTTAGTTTCGTGACCGAGAATACCAGACAAAACTCAAAAAATTCCAGGGTTTCTTTACAAAGGGTAGAAAATTGATGATTAACATTTTCTTCAAAAATAACTTGAAAATTAACATAGAAAAGAAGATGACTAAAGTTATAAATACAGTAGGAAGAAACAAGGAAAACGGTAAGGATTAGAGCAAAGAATACAGCAACAAATAGCTCAGTGCTCATTAGTTCATTAGATTATTCCAGCACAACTTATTTTATGTGTATTTTCCAATTTACAGAAGGACAAAATGCAAAATAAATTGCAGTATTTGGTTGTCCAGTATGATATTGTTTGTGAAACTGTGAACACTGGAATAATGCAGAGTGGAAAGGTAAGAGTAACAGCTGAAAACAAATACAATTATAATGCAAAACTAGAGTGTAAACAACTTAAACCAAAGTACTATTACTAATCGTTTAACTATATCAAGTGAAATCAGGTGATTTGATCATGTTTCTTATGCATCACAAAAACTTTTTGCTACTACACATTTCTGTAATCAGAGGAAAAAGTTGTATCAACATGAGTAGACATTTAGGTAGACAAGCTTTGAAAATTAACACAGATAAAAGTATTTAATTCTGGTTCTTCTGAGAAAAAGAACAAGCAAGACAAAACTGAAGAAGTTACAATCAACCTAAAGTCACTAGCCATTATTATAACTTAAGAAAGCTATTATTTTTCCCTTTCCAGCTTACCTCATGTATGTTTTTAAAAACCCACGACAACTTCATAGAAGTCTGTTGTGTTGAAAAAGTAAGAAAACTTGGTGCCAAATATCGATCATTCCCAGTCAAGAAATGAAGCACTGTAAAAATAACATGGATTACCTGTTTCAAAAGAAAAGTTACTTAATTTTTAATCTCTCCATTTAAAGGTTTCTGATCAACTATCTTTAAAGGATGACAACACAGATGAAAGCTGCTGACAGGAGATTAGACTCAGAAAGCTAATATCCTGTTAGAGAATCCTTACATAGGATTTCAACAGATAGCCTTCCCACAACAAATACGAGAGGAAAAATCAGCTGTACTAAGCACATCTGTTTTACTGGCTTCCGTGGCACGCTGATAGAGATGGCTCTGCGTTATGAAGACAGGCCACCTCTAAGAGTACAATGCATGACGTGGTTGACAGCGCTACATACTGTTATCCCAGTGAAAATTCTCCTACAGTAGACAGGCTCAATCATGTTTTAATAGATTAACCAAAATTTAAGCATTCACCAAGTTTTAATTCACAAAAGAAATCAGTGTCAAAACCAAACATGTAACTTCTTGTCCTGAGTGTGCCAGTTAGTTTCCACTTACAGGAAAAGTAACTTCAGTGTTTCCACTTACAGCAAATCCTTCTCTTCTAATGGTATGAAGCAAAAGCCATGAGCAGAATAAAATGTACCTTCTATAGATAATGTGAGCAAAGAGTACATTAAAAAAGAAACAAAAGAAGTCCAAAACACTGCCAATCAAGAACGACATACAGCCAAAAATTATGCTGTAATAGTGTTAATATGCAACATTTTAATATAACAAAGAGACTAAAAAGTAACAGAATTAATGCTAGACCTACAGACATCTTTTCCCATCATTAATTACCTTCAGGCTATCAGTACTGCATATTTTCTTGATTCTATTTTTCATGCAAATCTTGCTCAGTTAAATGTTTTTAGCCCACAGCACATTGTATTAACATGTTAACAGGACAATTGCAGTATTTCCTGTATTGCCCTTACTCTTCATAAAAATAACAGCTCTAATATGTCCAAGCAGTATTTAGCTTAGCAAAGTTTTACCTTCAGCAGAAGGGACTTATTCCAGGAATTCACAAGTTCAGCACTTCTTAAGTCTTGCCAACTTATGAAATTGTGAAAAGGTTTCCCTGTCCTCCTGAAAAACAGTATTTGAACATTCCCATTTAAAGCTACAGTACACAAACCACCCCAAAAATTCAACATCATTCACCATTTCCAGTCAGGACACTTAACACCAGGTCAACTCCTCAAATAAGTGCATCTCCTCCTGGTGGATTTGAGGAATTAGTAATAGGCATGCAGGCATTCTGAGAGTGAGACTTCTCACCAAAACTAAATTCATATGTATTCATCTCCTCTGAAGTACTAAGAACAAAACAAAAAGGACGTACACTTATATTCTGAACTGCTCTAGGGTGTGGCTGTGCAAACACAAGGGAACATGAATAACTAACATTTGTTGCTTTCAGGTTGTGACTTGACCAAGTTCAACATTTCTACAGTCTGCTTCCATCCAGCCTCTGTATATCAATGAAAACAAATTCATTTTAAACAACACACAATATACATACTTGTGCCATGTAATGAAAGTTCCTCTCTGTGTTGAGATGCCAAGACCAGCAATTTGCCTCATGTGAAGTCCCGCAGCTAAAAAAAACAAAAACAAACCACACCAAAACCCCCCACATTTATTTGAAGAAACAAACAAAAATACAACTTTTCCAATATAACTATAAAATCAATGGAATACTTAAGAAATTAGTAATTTCAGAGAATATAAATCTCTATACACTGCCCAATTAGGTCAAACAGTGAAATATTAGAGAAATCCTGAGTCAGACAACTGATTCCAAAGCAGGTAGATAAATCTATGTATTTTCCAGAAGCAGTTGTGGCACACTGACCCTTTCCACCTTCTGAAAGACATGTTGATACTTTACTTGAATAATCCCAGAGACAAGCAGACAGTTTACATATGTCCATATAATAATTAAAATGTGAATTTCACGTGGATGAATGTCAATGAAGGCACAAACAGAAGTACCACCTTTACAAACTTATGGAAATAAATTCCATAAAGAAACAAAACTTGATTGATTTGATTCTGTTGGCAGGAAAGAGATTAATGTCAACATGCCATGATTTTTTGCATTACTTTGATGATGACATTTCTCTCCTTAAGCAATCTTTCAAAATTTGTAAGACATTTGCTTAAACCATGCATCACTGAATGCAACACTGTATAGTTCAAATTCAGAACTATAAAAATGTACATTTGGGTATACACCAATTTTGATGTTACACCTTATCTCCAAATAACTGTTACAGAACATTTTTTTCTAATATACGTAACTGTAAATAACTGAATTTATCCACAGCTATTTTCAAAGCAGCTCTGGTCAGCTTCCCAAGCCCCTCCATGCATACTTCCAAAAGCAAAATTATGTGAACAAAATATACATTAAGAAGTTCCACTTAAATGACAGACTATTTCATCCAAAGTACTGTTACACTGAAGGGCTCTCAATGCTGCTACTTGAACAAATCGGAGGTTAAGTATGTCCTGCTCATATATGTTCTTATATTAACTTTCATGTGCAAAATCACTCATTTGTGTAAGCATGAGTGACAATTACAGAGAGGGTTTCATAGAGAAAGGGCACGTCTTGCTCTGCCAACCTCTACGTGTGCTTCTGCACCTTCCCTTATACCCATCCTTGCGTTCATGCAGGCAGTGGTATCAAAGCCCTCGATAAGCTGAAAATTAAATCAGTGCTGGCACAAGGCTACCTGCTCCAACTGCCTGCACAAGTGCTGTGGGTAGCAGGAGCGTACGGGGGAAGCAGCTGGGAAGGGGTGGCTTGAGAAGAGCACTATTTCTTTTTCAGTAGCAGCTGGGTCTAAACTGAAGGCAAAGGCATACCAATACTACCGCAGCATGCTACGGTTTAGTGGCATGTGTTACTCCTCCCCATCTCCACAACTTGCATGCTCCCACTACTTTCCATGTCAACTAGCATGCTATCTAGACCCCTACATGAGCAGGGCTAACTTCCATTGAAGAGAAAAACAAAACAGAAGACACACACAGACATTTTTCAGCTAAGCTGTCTCCTGGAAGGGTTGAATCAGTACCAGAGTGAGAGAGAGGGATGAGACCCTGCAGCCAGTAGTTTCCACCTTTAGGTAGTACTGAATTACATCAGCTCATCCACCTGCATATGGAACCACATGTTTTAGCTCATCATGCCCTGTAAACTGAAGTGCTCCTACGCCTTCTTTCTGCTTCCAGACAGGCCCCTGCTACCACACCCTCTCTTGCACCAGCACAAACAGTGGTGAAGCTCTGTTGGCATAAACAACTGCACAGTGATCTGACTCAGGGAACTGCTCTGGACTTGAAACACCACTGTAAAAAGGAGGGTGGGACTGCTGCTTTTGATAGCAGTGTGGACTTACGATCACTTACATTACACAACCACTTAAAAATGACTTGCCAACAGTGTGCACAGCTTGGCCACAAGAAAAGCTTCCACTTTCAACACTAGCTGAAAAGTCTTGCTTCCTGATTTGCCCCACAGAATGGGAGTGGAGGAAGCTAGAAAGGTCTTAAGGGTCAGAGGTGGCACTGTTGTTCTTGTGATGGAACAGTTGCAAGTGCTGAGAAAACAGACCAAGAGCCCAAAATAATCAGCTGCAGCTTACACCTAGTAATGGTTACTTCCCCTGTTCCCTACGCTGCCTTCCAAAGGAAGAGACGAGCAGTTTTGTCTTGAGGCAGGCTTGGAAGCAGAGCAACACTTGGAGACCAAATTGCAAGAAGGAACTTTAGGCACTGAATGGAAGAGTATGATGCACACACACATGACAAGGAGGCTGAGGCCCGGTGAGAAAGCGAGCTGGAGTGCAGCTGACAGGCACACAGCATCAGCATGGCACAGGATCACCAAATACCAGAGCTGGTATAGTGGGAAAGCTGTGGGAGTTGTAGGGAGTGAACGCACGTTTAGACCAGTATCCAGAAAAGGGAGAAAAAAAAATATCCGAAGTTTGGCAAAAAAGGGAGTTGTGTGTGTTTAGCACATGGAGTACTAGGAAATTTTAGGCTCAAGTACAAACAGAAAATAACAATAATATAGAAATCGATGGTACAAACTGTTTGCAGTTTGAATGGGAAACGCAGGAATATTGGGTTGTAATCAAGCAAGAATTACGCAGCACTCTGCTTTCATTCTCTCATACACTGACATTTGCACACACAAAGTGGCAGCAGAATAACAGGGAGTCAGAAGGGGAAACAAGCCTACTCTGTTTGTACACAGAGGCATCTGGAGGAAGGAAAACAGACACCAGGAAGTATACATAGACAAAAAGCTGGAGCAACAAACTGACATGTAAATCGAGTATGCGTGCTGCTCTGGTTCTACTTCAATCCTAATTGGGCCCCACTGAAAGAAAAAAAGATAATTGAAGCATCCTATTTTACATAATGATTGAATAGGCCTTAAAGCATGCTACTGACCTGTGCTCAGTGATGAATTTTCAGTACTTGTAAAGAATAAAGAGAAACTTATTATCAAATTAACTAACTTTACCAATTTTGATAAATAATTAACATGTCAAACTTTATAAGCCATTACCTTGTACAGCCTCTTTTATTACACCAACAAAGTGACTCCATAGCACTTCAGGATCTAATTCAACCCAGCCAGGATGAGGATAAAGTGATTCTGCCTGTTCATGGAAGACACACAGGTTTGTTACGATCCCTAGTTCACAGAAACCATCATTCTTGAGAAAGTTTGTGCAAATACATTTGTTTTTTCTTTTTGTTCTTAGCTTTCTGAATCTATTACAAGAAACGAAACAACAGTGTTTGTCACTTTTAAAATATGGTTAAAAATGGGTCTGTAACCTCTCAAAGACCTCCTCTGCTCAGAAGAGATAAAGGAGCCCAAACCCCCCAGAACTGGGGAGCCTGTAAACTGCTTTCAGGGCTCCAAATTGGAAACCAGGTTTCTCAGAGAGCCTTTTGGCTCCACTGCTGAACTTGGATGTTGATGCTGCTGAGCAGCTCACTAGCAATGCAGTGGGCCAGGGATCACCCCCCAAATGGGCTTCCAGCAAGAGGGAGGGTCAGCTCCACTGAGAACATCCCCTTCTAGCTCTCAAAGTCCACCAGATTTCTTACACTTCTCCATGCTGCAATCTTTCAATTGCAATAGCTAACAATAAAAAGGTTAATTCTGGAGATCGTCTTGATCCCCAAATCACGAGCCATACAAGCCAACAGCAGCCTGCAATTTCTGTTTCAAAGTTAACACTTCTTTTACACAGCGTTGTTACATAATGGGAAATGTATAAACGCTATGTCCTACTAGCAAAAGTCGTTTTGTTCGGAGCAGGGTTAGGTCGATAAGCCACTAAAGCAAAAGTAACGGGAAGGTGGGCGGGAGCAAACGCCGAGAAGTAACGAGGAGCGCGCAATGGCGGTGTCCCCGTGGGGCTGCCAGCCAGGCTGGGCGTTTGTTTCCTTCCACCCAGGCGGGTGGTTTAAGGGCCCTGGGGAAGCCGTCCCCACCCGCGGCGGCCCGGGGGCTGCCCGCGCACCGAGCTGGGCGAGCCCCGGCACCTGGCGGAGACCCGCGGGTCAAAACCACCGGCGGCAGCTGCTGAGGGTAACGCCGCCTCGGGCCGCTCTCGCCGCGGTGGTGAGGTGAGGGCACCGCCCCGCAGCTCCCCCCCGCCCCGCCACCCCCGAATTCACCTTCCTGCAGCTGGAGCCTCTGACCGCGGCCGCCCGGTCATAGACGTGGCACTTCACCACCGTGCTGCCCACGTCCACCCCCAACACGTACCGCGCGGGGGCGGCGCCGTCGCCGCCGCTCTCCTGCTGCCCGCACAGCATGGCCCGGCGCGCAGAGAGCGCGGAGCAAGGCGCGCAGGGAGCGCGGCGGACGGCCCGCCGGACAGAAAACCGCGGGGCGGGGCGGGGCGGACACCCGGCCGGCCTATGGGCGCGGGGAGCGCGGCGGGAGGCGGTGCGAGCACGGCCCGCGCAGGCCGCGGCCCCGGAGCACAGACCAGCGCTGGGCCCTGGCGGCGGGGAGGCAGGGCCCTGCTGCCGGGGCGGGGGGGAACGAGGGCACCTGCGCGCCCGTTCCCTCACGGGGCGGAGCGGAGGGGGGACGGGACGGTTGGTTTCACGTCAACGAGGGCGCCTTCTCAGCGTGGCCAAGCCCTCGGCAGCGGCACCCCACACGCCCGCAGAAACAACCCCACACTTCTCTACAAGTTTACCAAACGCACGTAGAAGGTTTTTAATTAAACACCAAATAATAAAGGGTTTCTAAGGGACAGAGTTCAGCAAGCGCCCCGGGAATATTTCCTCCCGGTGCTAATGCTGAACAGAATGACTGAGCCCCCCTCACAGCCGTAGCACAAGTGGTTCGGTAAACAACGCGGTTACAGTCACTCCGGGGCTTTGCCACTGAAGGTAGTGAGCATCAGTGGACAAAGGACATGCAATTATACAAAGTCTTCACCTGCACCAGTTCTCTTGTGCCATCACTTCCCTTCGCAGAAGGAACCACGTGTAAAATTACTGTTGGAACTGAGCGACAGGTTCCTGTACTGCCCTTAGATGGGGCGGTGGTTTTTAAACAGCAGCAACCAGAAATAGTTATGCAAATTCGGGCTGCTCAACCCCAAGATACTGTCAGAAGAATGTAGTTTTAACTCCAATTTCGCTTAGAGTAATTAGTCAATCAGTTTTAACTCATTTAATTAGAGCAGGACAATCAAAAGCAAGAAACACATAGAAAACATTTTCCCCCTGCACTTCGGTTTGGCCCTTCTTACAAAAAGTAGCACTATGAACAAGAGAAGGATATTATGTGGGATAACAGTCTGATGTTATTAGATCTTTAGGGCAGGAATACTAAGGACAGTGAAAGCCACACAGGAAGTGGCACTCCACCTCACCCGGGCAGCTACAGGGGTCACCAGGACGAAGGTTTGGATCATGGGGAACTGAGGGCATGTGAAAGGGAAAGCTAAGAAATGGCTGCTTTACCTCTCCTCCTTAAGGAAGGACTCATTAAAAAGTCATTTCTGGCTTTTACATTCTCTTTGGCTATACCTTGACAAATTATAATCTCTTGACATACATAGCTGTATGTCAGAGAAAAGGTATCAAAGTACTTCACATCTGATCAAGACTTTTTCTTCAAACTATTTAAATTATTCTGTTAGTTTTGGTAAATATTTAGAACTCCTGAAGAAATCTCCCTAAATAAAATTCAACATGTGCCACTGGTATAAAAGGTTAAATCCTCTCCAAACATTCAAAAAACTAAGAAAAACTGGGAGAAAACATTTAGGCATCCTTCATGTTTTTACAATACCAAGTGAGGCCTGCCTCACTGCAAGATGAAACAAAACATCAAAAAGAAAATGAAGATGCAGGTTACTTTTTTCTTTTGCAAGCTCTTAATGTAACAAATACATACCCCCTGCGATGCACTGTATTGCATAGAAGTGACCATAAGCTTATTTCTTCATGCAAATCTTGAACTGTTTAGTATGTTAATAAGAATTTAGATGTATCTTGGAAAAAAAACACCATATATATGCTGGAAAAAGATAACATGAACCAACTTGTACAGTTGCAGTTTGTACATAATCTCAGTTGTGTAGCATGTATTAGAATTGCTCAATTTATGAAAGGCTTATGAAATACAGATTTTGTATTACTGTTCTGCTTGCAATGTGATAAAAACAATGCAATAAAGGAGGCAATGAATTTTCAGACATGCATAGCTTGTCCATACATTACTTATACAGCATCAGCTTACGTTATTTTGTCACAAATAATACAACTCCCACACAGGCACTCTTTGTCTATCCAAAATCTCTGTCGCCCTCGGAGAAAAATCTTACTGCTAACAGGGGTATAAGCCCCAAGTTCATCTTAGCATTCAATTTGAAGTGAAGATGTACAGACACCTTCCTCTTACACTGCACTGCAGCGCTGAAAACAAGCCTGCATAACTTCAACTACCACCCTGGTCTTCCTGGGCGAGCGAGAGCATGCAGGTGCCACTTGCCCTGTTCAGAAAGCAGAGAATTCACACACCTGGGGTCACAGACCAATTACCGCAGCAGCTGTGTCCCATACATCTGCATCTTCTCAGCTGAAATCCTCAGCTTCTCTGGTCTCTGGGAAGCGTGACTGGTGTTATCTTTTACTGGAATATGAAACCAAATGAAGGAGTGGCAGCACTCCAGGGACTGTCCAGTGCTGTAGCAAAGGAAAGAGTTATTAAGTGAAACCAACCAAAAGGCAGAACATCAGGGACAAGAAGATCCTCCATTGCTGGCAGCAATGGCAAAACCCCCACCATGAGTAGTTTATATTGAACATTTGTAATCACTGTCAATATGCTCAGCATGTTTCAGTCAGCAACAGGTATGCTTTAGAGGATGCCAAGCAAGAGGGGTTTGCCCCGGTTATCCAGGTTAAAATAGGCCTTGAGAGATAGGAGTGCTACAGATCCAGTAGACCTAATTACTAGAAAAAAAACATGATATTGACATTTTCTAGGACCAGTTTATTAACTAAAATTTCCAAATTATTAAATAAACTGTATTTGGAATAGCGAACTTATGTTTTCTTGTAAATAAAGGTATTCTCAGGTGCATTTCGGTTGTGTGACTAATGCACAGGAGACTCTGCTCATCCCAGGTTTCTAGTATGAATCAAACTTGCCACTGGCAGGGCTAAAAGAATTCCAGCTACTAGAATCTAGGTGAACAAAACCCAAACCTTGTAATGCATGTTTTTTTAACTTCCCTTCCTTAGCTGTATTTTGTCAAGACACATCTACCTTTCTGCTGCCTCATCCAACTCTTATTTACCATTTTACCCGCTTCTCTAGCTCTACCCTTTTAACAAGTTTTAACATTATGAAAGCTTTGACATCACAGTCCTTAGTCAGTTTGCCTTTAAATAAGAAAGAGCCCACTAATTCCTGCTGCTCCATTGGTTGGTGCAGCCCACACACATCACTTAAGTCTTGCCTGGGAACAGAAGGCCCAAAATGAAAGCGATGACATTTTGGCAACTTTTGCTGCAGTAATTCACCGTATGACCATTTTCAGCAGTTCCTCCCATACTCCTGTCAGAATTTACCACTTTCCTTGAAGTCAAGAGACAGAACCACATACAAGACATCAGTTAATCTAGCATGTTAGCTTCATGGGTGATGTGAGTTTTAGGCAGCGATGGGATGTTTCTTAAGCAGTTCCACTCTTGCTAAATCATCCTGCCCTCACAGTGCGAACTGTTGTACCAACACAGCTGTTCTTGGGGCTCCGCGGCGAACTATCAGGCTGAAAAATAACATGGGGGAAAGAGTTTCAATCAGATTAATTCCTTGATATGGTTCATAATGTGGTGATACAAACAGTTTGGCACAATCCAGTGGGAACAAGTAAGAGACTGGTTAAACCAGAATTTTCACTGGAGAATTGCACATCAAAACTGTGCCCATACACGTGAGGTTCTGCATTGTGCCTGAGGCACAAGCAGTCCTTCCTGTATGCCGGCTCTGCAACAGAAGTAATCTTTGACAGAGAATAAGGTGGACTTTAGGACAATCAAGTTTTAAGCCAAGAATTTATGTACCAAAGCAAATGCAGTGAAAACTAGTATACTGATTCTGTTAGTATTTCATTATTTGCCCATGCTTTTAACCCATCCTAAGTAATATCTACATTTGGAGATGTGCAATGTATATATATATGTCCATCATCCTCTAGATGTCTCTTAAGGAATTATGATGTGGACTAAAAATGATAGAACTAGGAACAGCTTTGATAAAATAAGAGATTGAGTCCCATATCTGTGTGCGTGTATATAGATATATATATATGCCTGTGTATATGCATTTGATGAATGGTCATTTGTACCTACAGAATCCAGGGATGAACACCTCTTTAAAAGAACATTGATTTCAAAGTCTGGAAATTCACAGGGAAAAAATCTAAAAATAGAGAGAGGAAAATGGCCATCAGCAAAGCTTAAGTAGAAGAACAAGAGAATGGATATACTATACTAGACGCTAAAGGGATGAAAAAGCACTGAAGTACTGTTGTTTCAATAACACGTAGCCACTTAAAAAAAAAAAAGTAATTAAAAAAGAAAGCAAGGGGGAGGAAAAGGAAAAAAAAAATAAATACAGAAAAATCTAGAACACACCATTTCAATACAGGCTCAGTAAACTCAAAAGGTTCCAGCAGTGTACACTGCTTTCCATTTATCCTGCTGAGTTAGGTTTCAATGACTGACAAAGCATTTAATGTGTTTCAAATAAATATGTACTGGAAAAAACATCAGGAGCTAATAGTAAATTTCATATTCTATCCTAAATTAGTGCTAAATCTAAAGCATGCATAGGTTACTCCAAAATAAATCACTTACTGCACTAGAATCACAGTTCACCTCATACCCTCAACATGCTAAAAGTTGCCAACTTAGAATTTTATTGCTACTGTTATTTGCGCAGAAATTACATTTTGGCTTTTGATTGCCAGCCTTTGTCTGTCTTGCAATTACACAAAATGCGGGACTAAGGGTGATTATCAACTTTCATAAAACAATGCTGATGCAGTAACACTTATTGACCAAGTTTTACCAAAAAAAAATAATATGTTTTAATGAAAAATGCTTTCTCTGTTTTTTCAAATAACAGGAATCAAGTTTACTGTTTGCATTTGATGGCACTGCAGCCCCTTCTGCTCTCTTTGATTCATATTGTTTTTCAAAGCAGAAACGAAACGGGAAATTTGTAAATTACAGAAAAATAAGAATAAATGCCCTGTCAAATATTGACAGCAATAAGGAACTGTTGTTGGAACTGTGGATTCTTTTGTTAATAAACAACAGCTACTTACCTCATGGTATCAGATTCTTCGAAACATATATCAGTTACAGTCTCAATATTCATGGGTCCTCACGCACCTGAATTTGGGTTCTTTTGGCCAAGAGTGTGTATTCAGACTGCCCTTATGCCCTTGGTGTCACTGTGTCCCCTTTCCAGAGACAGAAAGAGAAGAACATAACTGTCTCTCAGTAGTAAGGAAGGCTGATTATGGAATACATACGGAGATCACATCTCAAATAAAAGAATTCAGAAAACCCCTACTTTAATTAACCATTCCTTCTTTGAGATTACTCACTGCCCGGGGTTATCTATATAGTATTTCAGATTAACTAAATTGAAAAAAAGTCACTTATTTTTTTGAATGGGAGTGTCGATGCAAGATTTATTATGTGCAAACTGATATATTTTAAAGTTATCCCTTTAATCAATTTGGTTTAATTTCCTTTAGTGCTATATATTGACATGGGAAAAGTAACAAGGCAGAACTTGCTATGCAGGATAACTACAGTACTTAAAAGTCCACAGACTAATGATTTCAAGACAGCTTAAAAAAATGCAAGATTGTATCTTGGTATCTTCATGTTGAGTAATATGACCTGAATGTATATACCCAGACTGTTGTTCTATACAGAATATCGTTACACAAAGTTGCAGCAGCTGGTCATGTTAAGAGTGTACTCAATTCTTTATGCTAGTTTCTTTAAACAAACTAATTGACACAATAATCTATGAAAAGGAAAATAACATCTCTCTCCATGAAAAGCCGGTGCAGCAGTTGGCAAAAGACAGATCCCAACAAAGTTCGTAACTCACAACCAAAGATACTAAGAATTAACTGGCATGACTACAGTGTTCATTATGCTTTTAAAGTGAACAACAAGTAGAGTTTGAACATAATTATAGAGATAATTGGTCAAAGAGAACAAAACTCAGCACATGGTATATATACACAATACAAAGGTGAGGAAGCTTATTTACTCTCTCTGTGGTAAGTGTAAAATCTAGTAATGTTATTTTGGCAATTCTGAATTTAAAAAAACCTGCTATTATTCAGGATGAGGAAATCTAAGTATATAACTGGTCATTTTTTTCTTAAAGAAATTCAAACACATTACACTGGTTTTAGTGTAGCTTCATTTAGAAGCCTTTTTACAAATGAGGTAACTATTCTTACTCTACTCTAGCAAAAATCTCAGCACAGTGTTTTGCTCCAGGTACAGAAAAAGGGTGTCCAAGGTACCCATGGCTCCTGTTTTTCAGCCATCAGCTGATTTTGCACCTTGTTAAGAACCACTAGGACAGAACTTGCTGGAAACTAATCTTACTGCCTTTTCTGCAGCTTTTTTTATTTTTAAAGTAAATCTAATGTGTGACAGAGGCCAAAGAAAATTTTTGGAAGATCAGTATCTAATTAAATGCTTTTAATTGCAAAGCGACAAAGAGCCTTTTTAAAAAACTTCGTATCTTTAACTGTAGTAGTTGAAAGCCATCAAAAACTACTCAGAGGTGGGCAGTTGCTGCTTCTGAGAATCACAGAAATTGGGCTTCATGAGATGTAATTTATATCTTAAAATTTTGGTTTGGAGCATACAGAAGATCCCATATAGTATTTGGAAATAAAACAGTGAAAATAAGTAAAGTTTCTTGTTTCAATATTTAATCCAAGCAGACACAGACACAATTTATAAAATTATTCTATTGCATTAAAGTTTTATATAGCATTTAACTTTTATGAATGTTTTTCTTTCAGTGTATCATATATTCATATTTTAAAATATCTTTGCACAGTCCTTTGTGCAAATACATGCTAAAAATCTGCAAATGCACACTTAACACTAAACAGCACAAAAAATACATTCTGTATCCATTCATATGCAAATTTAAAACATTTCACTTGGCAGGTAAACAATGAAAAGTTATTTTAAAAAAACCAGAAACTACAAAAATGCGCACATAAAAGTCTTCCCTTTTGGATTTTTAGTAAAATACTGCTCTGTATAAGATCTAATGAAAAACTCCAGTGCTTACAAAATACTTTATATCTATGAGAAAAACAAATGCTTAAATTTATATCTGTATGAATGAAACATAATCACCTTGTTAAATTATAAAACTGAAATCATAGGGGACATGGCATAGGTCAATGCATATGTCACATCTACTAGGACATGTAAAACTGTAATTAACTGGGCACCAGGCAGTCAGTATCATAGAATATATAAACTAAAAACCAGGGATTAATACAATATGCAGCAGCTACAGAATGAAGTGTTTAACCAGCTATATATACTAAATATAGCAATTCTACTTGAAGAGGGAGAGGGTCTTAGCCTGAACTAATGAATAATAAAAATTGCTGTGTTTACCGGTGCTAAGAACATAGTGTCCTTCATAACTTTGTTTCTAAAAAATCTGTGTAATTGTCTATCCAGATCTATCAAAACTCTGTGATGCAAGAATCTAACATAGTCTCATCTTTATCACAGGAATTTCTACACAGATCTTTTCTCTGATCATCAGATAATTCATATTGGATACGGGGGACTAACATCTGTGTCTCATAACTAAATTTCATGTAACACTTCTAAAATATTGGTGTGTCAGTGTTGTGTTGCTAATGACAATAAATCACCAAAACATACAACTTTCCCTTCACAGAATTACTTCAAACCCTCTCGAGACTAGATGGCTATAAGGAGAACAATAAAACTGATGTATTTTAAGACTGTATACAGACTATTCTACAAGCTTTGTGATACTGAGTAAGATGTAATAAATTTCTTAACCTTGTTTGTACCTCTGTGATCCTTTTTTATAGGGCTTGCTGCTATTCTACAAATACTGATGAGGCAACAACTGTTTTGGAGAAATCAATATAAAAAAATCCTATAACATAGGAGCAATGTGAAACTTGGTACTACACCACCAAATGGAGGCAAAGAACAAGGTAGGTGAACTGAAAGAAAGTCTACAGACTTGCAGATCCAACACAAAACCTGTCTAGAGGCAACAAAATTAATTGCTAAAGCATGTTTTACTTCTAAGCTTTCCAGGCCTTAGAGGAAAAATATCTTTTTCTGGAACAGATTAGAATACAGAAGAAAAATGAACATTAATCAACATCAGTAAACAGTACCAGCTGAGGCTTCAAACTTTCTCCCAGACTGAAGATTTCTTATTACTATCACTAAGAATGATACATGTGGGTTAAAAATCCCGCAGGGACCTCTGAGCCTTCTTTGTTACTACCTATATGAACTCAGAATGATGGAGTTACTTCTTCTGCAACATAGCTCACTCCAAAAATACAAGCCAGCTTCTTGTGTGAATATTCCTATGGAACCAACAGTAACCATTTCTGATAATTTAATTTTGCTACACAGAACCTCTATCACAAAACTAAAAAATAAATATTAGAAGTCAATAGCAACAAAAAATAACCTAACATAGAGGTTTCAGAGCACAGACTATTAGAAGTAGAAATGGACTCTACATAAACATAACTTTGACAGCCATACTACACAAATGGACATCTTTAAACTCTGGCCACTTTTACAATTTAGAAAAAATCAGGTTGTCACTAGCATTTTAGGAGGCTATGCAGATCCGAAGTAGCTATCTATGTTATTTTATCATGAACAATAAAATTAATAATGCTGCTAGATTTAAAAAAAAATAAATGGACTTTATCAAAGAGGTCTCTACTTAGCAAATTTTTTTATTCAATACATTCTATAAATTAATCTCCTGCAACAGATTCTGCATCAGCAAACACTTTCTGCCACTCTAATACTATAGATACAATAATACCTACATTTTGAAAGTTGTAAAGTTGTTGCCCTCTGGTATAAAACCTAGTTCACAGTTAAAGCAAAGTTGGCAGTTCCATTGGAGTTAGATTTTAGTCACACTGATTCAACTCAGAAGGACCTGGAGAGCCAATATAAAAGCTGCATTTAAATAATTTTTCCTTTCTGTCTTATAACACTATTTAAAAATAAGCTAGAATACAAAATGTCATACTAAGCAGTGTTAGATGCCCAACTTATTACCGCTCCATATCCCTTCCCAAAAGCATGGCAATTCTGAATTAAGGTTGCCACTGTTATTGCTGCTTACCCGATATAGTCTGTAAGCCACTGTTTAAAAACATAGGCACAATAGATGGCATGGTAACCTTAACTCAGCATTTCCTGGCTTTTGCTAATTTAAGTAAAAATAATTATGTTTTAACATAATTTTTATAGTTTTTGTAACAACCTGAAAAATCATAGCAGATAAAATGTAATTCATTCTGTATTATACTTAAAGTGGCTGGTCTTTTTAATAGAGCTTTCTGATTTTTTTAAATGATAGAACATAACAGTGGGGGAAGAGTTAAAGGTAAAATACACCTAGCTACCATATTTATTCTGAAGATTTTGGTGCGCCAAAATTGACAGCCAGCTTTCTTGGCTTTCGCTTGCTGGAAGTGTTTGGCGTTGATTTGTTATGAGGAACGCTTGGAGTAGCCATATTGTCTTGAAATGAAACAGTGGATTGAGCAGCTTGAGGAGATTTTAAAGGAGCTGAAGAACTATCTTGCTGAATGTGGTCAGAAGACACTGGCTGTTCATTCTTTAGTGGTGCAGCTTGAGGGGAACTCTGAAACTCCTTGAACTCAAAGTTTTTCTTGCTAGCAGCCCTTTTTTTAGTTACCTTTAAATTAAATAAATATTATTTAAAAGAATGCATTCTCAAAAAACTGCAAATATTCCACTTTCAGAAAACATGCATATAATTTTTACAATAATTTTCTAATACTAAATAGTGCTTCACAGTAGGGGTGTTGCATTCATCATGTAGGCACATTTTTTTACAAAACTAGAATATTAAGACAAACCTGTCAATCTTACCTGCAGAGGTATAAACTGGTTGTGAGAACCAACTGGTATAGATCCTGCAAGAGACACATTTCCTGGATAGGAGCCAGGATAATAATGCTTAGGCACTGGAGCTCCCCAGGGCACTGGACCAAAAATGTGAGATGATGGAGGCATTATATTAGCTGTGAAAATAAGTAACTTTTAGCACTCTTATCAAAAAGAGGATACTATCTCCCCAAGACCCCAAAAGTACTCCAACTGCATTTTTCTGCATGTCATTTCTCCTTCCAATAAAGCCTCATATTCTTCGTATTTACTTGAAAATAGGTAAGTATTTATTTGTTATCAAAAAAGTCCCAAGCAAACAGTTCTGCTTTTACAGAACTACACCTGGATGACAGCACAGTTAAGAGCACTGAGTCACAGCATCTGCCATTCAGAGTGCACATAACTTAGGATCTTTGCATCCTTAGCTGAGTGAACTGTATTAGTAGAAGGCTGCAAGTTTAGGCCATCCTTTTGAAACAAATCAACAATTAGAAACCCTGGAGAAAAAGACAGGTAGCAGCTGCTGTATGGGTTGCTAGGATGCTACAATAGTGCTGACTTATTATGAGCTGTGAATGTGAGCTTTAGTAGAATACAAAATAGATGGGACCCAGAAACAGCACCAGGATTTTTAGCAATTTTTTGGGGGTTACTTACCATGCTAATGTTCGGCAGTGTACAACAGAATTATAATGCAGCACTTGAGTGAAAGTTGGTTATAAACAAATAAAAACACTAATTCTGGGGGGTAAAAAAAAAAACATGTAGAAAAATCAAGGAAAAGATTTCTTATGAATTCTGAACTGGGGCTATCAGCTTCAAACTAATTACTATTACAATGAAGGAAAAAACAAAACAAAACGACAAGTTGGACTGAATGGACAAATACATCCTTGAGGAAAAGAAGTAATTGGGAGAGATGCAATTCTTTGTATTGAATTAATTTGCAAATTGATGAGAAGAGTTTCATGAACTGTTGTCAAAGCAGTTCAGACATACAACTATGTACACAAAGACCAAAAATGGTGCTTTCTGGAAGACATTCATTTTCATATAAAGAACTGTTACAATTACAGGACAACATGACAATATTTGAAATGTGTACTAGTCAAATACTTGCCAGGGGGTTGTGCAAATACTGGAGAAATAGATCCATGTGGTACAGGAACTCCTAGTGGTTGATAATTTGGAAACACTGGTGGAGGCGGAGGTGGAGGCAAAGGGAAGTTTACTCCGATAGAACTCTATGAAGAAGGAAATGGAGGATTACAAACAGATGCAATGCAATCGAGACAAAGATTTTAAAAGATTCTTTGCATCCTCACCAAACGCTGTAAAGCAAAAAGTGCAGCTTTCTCCTTTGCTTCAGCTTCAGAATGACACTGTGGTCCATGAACCAACAAACCATTTGATAATTTTATGTGACAAACTGTCATGGTCTAGAAAAATAAGATAAGATTTTTGAGGAAATCTGTATTGCTAATAAAATGTGAGATAGAAACAGAGGATTTGTTTGATTTGAAAAAAGGCAACAAAAAGAGCTAAAGTCTATTTTTAGATGGATTTCAGAGCTCAGTCCAAATGTTTAAAAATACAGGACTGTTGAAACAAAGTTGAGAACATCAATTTTTGCAGAAAAAGCTTTTTACCTGTGGTGTTTTTAGGAAAGAGAAATCTGGTTGTGGCATTCCAACAAGTGAACAAATACGAGAAAGTTCAGAAACAGTAGACAGTGAAGGCTGTGGACAAGCAAAAGGGTGACCTCCAGTTTCCAGTGCTGGTGTGTTCTGAGGGCCTCCAGTGCTATGAGGCTTGTTCATATAAGCAGCTGACAAAAGAAAAAAAAAAAAAAAAAAAGATAAAGTTTTATCACAAACACTTCATGCACTGAAATGATAGCATCTTTATTATTAGCAGAAAAAAAAAAGCATTTTTTTTCCTGGTATTTTCATATCTGATTAGCGAAAAACGGGTGGCTATATATAAAGAGATTTTTAGATCAGAATAATAAAGTAGAACTGAAAAAGATGGACATTTTATTACTGTATTTTGAAATCAGTACTATACTGTTAGCTATGTTCTAAAATGTCACTACAAGGTGAAGCTCTGAACTATGAGCTGATGTCTAAACATACCAATTTTTTTTGTTTGTCTATATTGCAAGGCAGGTCCATGGCAATCTTGTCTACTAGCAGGAGCAGGAATGTCATTAACTTGGGATTTCACTTCATTCCTTGTTTCCAGGTCAGAGCCATCTATCTTCAAAATCTCTTTGAGCATCTGTGTTCCTTTCTTTAAAAATAAAATAAACCATTCAGGGACATGATAGCATTCAGATAACACTACCTTCTTACTTAACTCTATATCATAACAGGTAACAAAATCTGAATTTTTGTTTTCCTATCAGTTATATTTTATCAAAGCACAGATAACAGCTCCTTAGCATGAACAAATATGTTTGTTAATTTTCTTTGATAATAGCTAATTAAAAGCTCATCAATGTGTTTAAAAAGGCAGTATGAGGTTTCATGGAGTTTCTTTAAATAGAAGCATTGATGCTAAGATAGCAGACGCTAAATTGCAATGTAATGATTCCTGCAGTATACAGACCATAGCAAATGATTGTGGTGACAGATGTTCTTCATTCGTAGCTCTTCCTTCCTTGGAATAAGTCTGTACTTCATTTTCCTTGGGAATTTTCAAAGAAGCTAGGAGACTTTCAAGTTCATTGTCCTTCTTAAAACAAAAGAAAAAAGGTACATCAACTTAGTATATAACACGCACATGCAAGAAGAAGGGTGTATTAGTTTGAGATTAATTTTATGCTCATTCAGGATTTTTTTCTCTTAGCTTGGGCAGATGACAGTCATATCTGCTCAGATCATGAACAGATATCCAGAGACTAGGTCAAGTTTTGCATACTAAAAAGATGAAAGTATTCACCCACAGAGATTTGATTTAAGGAACAATCGAAGTTATACAGGTTTGTCTTGTATCTGTTATAAACATGATGTCGCACACAAGTGACCGGGAATAATTGGAGTAAAATGGACTGGAAACTGAAGTTATTCAAAGAGTACAAGACAATCATCTAGATCCTACCTTTCCACCTGTACAAGGACCATCAACTGCAGCCTTCTGATTTACAGGCATGTTGGGACTTTCATTCCTCTTCAAAAGTTTGACATTGTACTTATTCACACCTGCAAAATTCTGAAATAAACTGCAGCATTTATTATTGACTACTAATACTCCCTTACTCATTATAACACAATCATATTAGAAATGCATCTGCAAATAGTTTGCACAGGCTAATACTCTTAGAGGATTTCATCTTACTGAAAACCTAGCATTTGTTTTCCCCTTACAGCATAGCTTTTAGAGTCTGAGTGGAATAGGAAAATCATTTGGTATCGCCATTATACATCTTGCACACTTTCTTTCATTTTCTGCCTATAAAGTCTTTAGAGGAAAACAAAATCCCCAAAACAAAATTTACCTTGTAAAAGAATCTACTAAGATGCCAGTTAAAAGAAATACGTAAAATGATGAATCAGATGAGAGTAAAACAAAAAGACAACAATACCTTTACTCAGCACAGAAGAAATTACCTGTTTGTTTGATATTTTATTGTGTGGCTGACTTTCACCTCTTGTAACTTTGGAATCTTCTTTAACTACAAAAGAATGCACTCTTTTGAAATGCTCTTAAAAACTGTAATAATAATCAAGACTCAAAAAAATAGTAACTCCATATGAGTACACATAGTTGCATTAATTTGAATGGTTGCATCAAATGTTTAATTTATACTTTATAGGTTGTTTGCTGTATGCTTTTTTTGTAGAATAAAATTAAGTATATGCAATAACATATCTAATTTTATATTCTACAAATATGATCACAAGCAAAGTTTCAAAAACAAGTTGTGGGGCTTTTTTCTCTTTATATCAGACAGGTGAAAAGTCAACATAATGCAGAACAGTGTGATTAAAAGGTTCAGGATTAAGTGTGGAATAACATAATATGCACACCAGGGACACTAATTGACAGTAAGAAGTGCAACACAGTGTTTATATAACTATAATAAACTATTTTCTATTGATGATTACAAAAAACTCAATAGGCATTTCAATGAAGATCAGATAAAGCAAGTGGTTTTCCTAAACAAAGTAATTGTAGTACTTACATTTTTTATAGGGGTCCTGTTTTCTTTGCTGACCTTTAAAGCTGCTGTCATTGAATCCTGGCTTATAGAACTGATTACCAGTTGCCAGCTTGATCTCCTGAGGTAGAACTGCACCCTAGGATTTCAAACACCAAACCTTAACCAGAAAACCATGTATCTATCATCTACATAGCAGTCCCGTATGATTACCTCTTTCCACAGCCATGCACACCCTATGTAACAATACTTTCACCCAGAGGATTTATTTATACCATTAACTGGAAAGTATTCAGATGTAATGAACTGACATATAAAATTAAGTACCTTCATATTTTGAACCCAGGGATCTGATTAAAGTTTATATACTAACCTTCTCAGGCATGTTTTGCTGATTGTGGTGAGACTTCCCAGAACTCTGCAATGATTGCCATATGCTGCAGAATTCATCATCTTGCTTACTCTGTGCCTGACAAAATAAGAAGCAACCCCCCCAAGTAACTCAGCAGCTATAAACTCTACTTCTGAACAGCTATTCATCTACCAAGACATACTGAAAACTGCAAGGTCCAAGTTTAACAGTGGTCAGACAACAGAAACTTTCATATTGACGCTAGAAAAACTTGCAGGTATTTAGTGTGGTGAGTTGTATTTATACAACAACTTTTCCTAAGAATCACTGTTAAACTGAAATGATCTTAATTTGTTTTGAGATTGTTTTTGTTTTGTTATTAACTGAAGTTATGAACATAGGAAAGATCACCGAGTAGAATTAAACTCAGATAGTAATTCAAAATGGTTTCAAAAGCATGCTCTCATAGTGGTAGTATTTTTAAATTTTATTATTAATGCTTTATTTTGTAAGACCTTATCAATCAGGCTCAATTGTTTCATAACATTACAGGTATGTTACCACAGACCTGAAGCCCAGCTATGTAAAAAACACTTTTGAAAATCCAGAATCTAAAGAAGGATAACACAGGATATTTAAGAACTGCGACAAGTTCAGCCCCAGTCTAGATCCAGACTAAAACATCTGATGTACTAAAAGAAAGCTATCTGTTAATAATCAGAAAACAATACCCACTCTAAATAGGGGGCCAAAATAAATACTGAGACTTTTGTGTTTGATACTAAATTAATCTGAACACTCACTTTATTTTTCTGATTGCCACTCAGAAACGATCCTTTCTGGGGTGAGTTGGAGTTGCCCTGATTTTCAGCCCTGAGATTGTAATGCTGTCTTCCATTCAGTTGCTAAATCATTGAGGGGGGGAGAAGAAAAAAAATCAGAAGTGTTTCATTGCCTTCGATTTTCTTTTGGAAAGTAGTTTTTCCTCATATAGACTTAGAAAACATGAGACAATTCTTCTGAAACACACCCATAGCAATATGAAGGTACCCATTCAGATAATTTTCTTTAAAGAAGTCACTTACTGAAAAAATAAAGTTTAATTAAACCAATGAGAACCCCAATTCATTTGTTATTTTTCCTCCGTTACTGTATTTTCAAAGTAAATCAGAGCCAAGAAGCAAAATTGACAAGAAATCATGTCTTCTGTTTCTGAGCATGGACACACTTGACCTACAGGAAGCATTACTTGGAACAGAGCTTTAAAGAAATATTTACATCTCTGCCTCAACAAACTATTTATTGACACCAAACGTGCTGTCACTGCTCTGAACTAAATACCTGTCTCCTGGAAACAACTGGAGCTACTCAAAGCAAAACAACTGTCAATAAGGACCTTCTGGTCCCTTTTATTACTGGATTAACTAATTTCTCCAAGAAAAATAATATCGTACTTCTAATGTACTGACATAAAAATTAAATTTTGTTTGTACCAATGAAGATATCAACTATAGTCATAATTCAGCTTCTAGGGAAAAATATTTTTGTACAAATGAAAGAGAAGTCTTACTTGAGTAGGAACAAAGAGGGAGCGAGGAGAATGGTTGAGGCCTCCCAGGTGAACTTTTTGAGAGCATACAGATGACAGATCACATGTATATGAATTGTAGTGATTCACAGCTGGCTGAGGTTTAACTATGGCTGTCAGTTTTTGATTTCCCATTTCTGACCGACTACCATGAGACAGGTTAATTAAGGCACTTGATGGCAGACGATAACCTCTGGCAGGTGAGCACCTTAAGAAATGCAAATTACATGTAGTTTAGTTGTTGACATTTCAATATATCTGATTTAACAACACTGTTGCCTCTTTGCCAAAAGATAATGACTCAAGTTTAAACAGCAGAGGCTGAAAACTGTATCCAACACCGAAATCTAGAACCATTACACACTATGTTAATCCCATTGTGCTCCCCTTTAGTCTCTAGCTATCAAAACAATAAAACAACAGTAATTACTACTACTCTGAGTTTATATTGTACCTTTCAGTGCTGAGCTCAAAGAAATTTTAAAGACGAGTGAATTGTTATAGCATAGTTCTATAGTAAATATTTCTGTAAAAAATTATCGATCAGAAACAATATTTTATTTTTCCAAGATGAAAACTGAAGCCAGTAGAAGAATTATAAAATGAAGTAGTATTTAGCCAGTTTGATATTTTTTTTAATGATTCTGAACACTGAAGATTATCTGTTTTACAGGACATGCTCTTGCAAGAGAGAGAATTGTGTTATGCTTGCTGCACACAGGGAACAGGTAAGATTCTCCTCTAATTTCTTTCATAAAAAACTTAATTTATCTACGAAAAACAGTAAAATTAAGGATGCTAGGCAAATTAGTGCACTTAGAGGTTTACCTGCTTACTTAAATACTGAAGAATTACGGTACTTTTTAAAACGAAAGCATTAACCATGCCTCCACCTCCTGAAAACCAGTTTAGGTTTTTAATGGTGGTTAGAATTTCTTGTCTAAGTATCAGTTGCTGATAGTTCAGAGTCCCTCCTCCAGAGGAACAGATGATTAGTGACTATTTTTTAATCCATATGTTACAGACATACTGTAACCTGTGACCTGTTATTCTACGTATTTGTTTTAGATAGACAACTGGATCTAGTACTTTAATGTTCTGGTTTGTAGTTGCTTTCTACAAATCAGAAGCTTCTAAATATGCAAAAAAGCCTAAAGAGCATTTCCAAAATATAATATGCTTCATAAAAATTATCCTTACTCAAAGAGAAAGAAGAAACACAAAAATAATAAGAGACAACCAACACTGTTGAGAAACAAAGTTTTAAAAAGAGGCATTAAAAATACTCAACCAAACCAAAGGCAACAAATCCATGACAGCAGTACCAACAGCATGAAATGACTATGAAAGCCCCTGCACAAACCTTATAGTTAGGCCTCCAAGGAATTCTTCATCAAACAAAACTTCGAAGAGCACATCTGTTTCTCTGCTGGCTATAGAAAATAAAGTAAAATGTCATCCTATATATGTAATAGTAGCTGTTTTAATCTAAATTATGTAAATATCTATACTAGTTACGCAATAAATAATGAAAAGACCAAGAAGTAATCAGCAACAAAAAAATGCTTATTCCTTAAATGAGTAATTTCATTAACAGCAACTCAAAAATGCTTCTCAGTCATATATGTCTGCCCTTTTAGATATACTTTCAAAATAAATGTACCACACGTAACAACCTGTCAACCTATATTAATAGAACTGCAATTTATAGCAGTATGTTACAGAAGTCAGAAACTGCCAGAGGAGATGCAAGCCATCTTTCCATGCAGGCAGTCAGAAACCACAAGCTTTAACATTACCTTCTTGCATAATGATAGACTAACACTCCTTTAAAGTTATAAGAGTATATAATCATTACGGAGAAAAGAATACCTCTTTCGCAAAGCTGCACTCAAGTCTAGTCTATTTAAGAATCTGTTGGATGCAAAGTGAATGAGAAAGCAACTACCTAAATGCCAGGTAAGAAAACAATCTCTATTACTAGATCTCAAACTGCTACACCCAATGGGATTCAGTAAACTTCTGTTTACCTGAAACAGATTTATGGATAATCTTCTCAAAGAAGGTGCAAATCCATACCATTTAACAGAAATCGAGTATCACATACCATTTAACAGAAATCGAGTATCACAGAGTACAAACCAAATTCCAAATACAACAGTTTAAAACAAACCATATCTGGTAAAATTTTATGTTCAATGTAAGTATTAAGGCTTGTTTTTATCTCTGCTTCTCTTAACTTTGCCCATATCTTCCCGTAACTTCATTTTGTTCCTTTTTTGCAGCTGGTATTCTCTCTCTTTAATCTCTCTGCCTTCTTCATATTAGGAACGAACAAAAGGTAAGTAAATTCTTACTCAAAGTACAGCTGCATAACACATGAAATTAAAATAGAATACCTGTAGGTTTAATTCAAAACAGTAACTATGTTATTAGTGGCTTCAAGTTGCATATGCTTCACAGGTGAGAAATTTCTGTGCATTAACAATCATCATTATACAACAAAACACTTTTCAGAAGCCTGCTTTCGTATCACTAGCTGAGCTGTGATATAGCTATAATGCTACAATTATGAAGAAAATATTACCTCCTTTAATTCCTATAATGGTACCTCGGAGACCAACTGGAACAGAAAAGTTCTCTCTCACATTGACAACACGGTCAAACAGCCTGTACTCTGCATCTCGATCTGGAACGACCCCATTCTGTTGTTCTAATGGCTGAGAACAACCAAAAGACTGTGTTAATGTTTGTAAAAAAATAGGGATTACAATCAAAATGCATTTATGATAGTATCTAAAACATACTATAAAGCAAACTTTTTGAAAAAAATAATTGTTTTAGAACACAGAATCTTCCTTCCGCAGACACAACGCAAACTTTGATCTTTTTTCTTGAAAATCTCTCACTGCTTCTGCCTGAGAAACAGCCCTGTTGTACATGATCCAAGGCAGATCAAGGGGATCAGTTTAGACAAAATAAAACCATCGAGTGTAACCTGACTGTCAGTATCATGGGTATCTGTGAAATATCAGGCAAGATGAGCAGCTGGCCCTATTTCAAGAACTGAACAAAAAGCAAGACTGGTAAGAAGAGACAAATGGGAAGTAGATTTTATTTTTCCTTAATTATACGGCCAATAAGAACTGTAGGAGCATGAAGGACAAAAGGTAGAAAAGAACTGAAAGTCAGTATAACACATGATGGACTTTGTAGTTAGTAGAAATTTTCTCCTTTTAGAGACAGACTACTGTTCTCAAATTGATTTTCTAGAAGGCATCATAAAACTTTTTCTTCCATCAATACAGTCATAAAATTCCATTCTGAAAATTGGTGAGCTTAGGTTAAATAAATATTATCTCAAGAACCTAACTTCAAAAAAACCTTTCCACATCACTTACTCTGTACAGCAAATGGGGTTTCACAGTTACTCGCACCTTCTTGTTGCTCTTTCTCTGCTAAAGGAAAGGAACAGAAAGTTACTACAAACTAGTGTAGGATGCCAACACTGGATTTCATGTACAACAAAACAATTTAAAAGACAACGTAGGATTGTTTTGTTTCTTTTAGATAAAGGTTTACAGCTTTCATGGAGTCTTCAGGATGATTAAGTCCAATTTTTAAAACATGGCTGATTCCTTACCAAAGCTTTTGCATTGTTTGACTAATTCGAGAATCCACATCAATTTTATTAACATGTCCTTGCAAGTAATTTCAAAGAAATCAACCCATTATTTCATGTGGCTTTGACTTTAGCTTTTGCTTTAGTAATTTCCTTGGCCCCTTTTTTAATCTGTGGCCTTCAGAAAGCAACTTTCTAGTTTTCCTCAGACCAAAGAGAAACTGCAAGGGAAGAACAGCTGTGAGTGCACTTAGAAACAGCATTTCAGTAGTTCAGAATACATAGTGACAACACTTGCTCCTTTATAAACTCACCAAAAGGCAGACTTCAGAGTATGGCCTAATGCTGCTGTACTGCTTCAAAAAGAGTGAGTCAATTAAAAAGATAAATAATGAGCTCTTCTGAATTTCTGGGACAATTCACATTACAAATTCAGATCTTAAATTACATTCTGTATTATTTTTCTTTGGAATGACAAGTAATTTTCAATCATCTTATTCTAATTAAAGAACTTGGACAATAATGAGCAGCTGCTTTTTGGGTCACCCCTGCTCACAATGATACCAAGCTGCATACCTTGCATTTCTCTATTTCTTCTTCAATTTTCTCAACAATGGCTGCATCCAGAATTTGCAAGTCACAAGATGAGCGAGACAAAGCAGACACCGGATGTGCCTTTAACCAGACAACAATTTCTTGAACTTTCTCAGCACTAAATAAAAACCAACATGAATTAAAACTTTTAACTACATAAACTAAGCATTTCACCACGTCTGCTGATTTAATCAGTCAAGTATTATAATATAGGTACAATGCTTGTATACATTAACAAAGTAACAGAATTGAAGTGTTCTGTATGAGTTTACAATAGGGGTTAAAAAAATCTAACTTAATCATGCCATACTGTTTCAAAACTACAACCTGAGGTTTTGTCTCAAAAAAAAAAAAAAAAAAGGAATTATGTAAATGTATTCAGTAAATTATGCTTGCATCCGACCAACCATGTCCAACTGTGACAGGGTAGAAAAAAAAAAGGAAAAAGATGGCTTACCCATTCTCATCCTCTCCAGGCCAAATGTCATCTTCATAGAAGATATCTTCCTGGCTGTTCTTGGCTATATAATTAAATAGTTCAGGGACCCTACAAAATAAATAAATGGAAGACAAACTTAGATCCACATCAGCACAAACTACAGAAATAGCCTCATCAAAACAAGCTTTTACAGGCTTCAAGATTTCTGGAGCCCAGAGAGATTATTTTTCACTTAATTTAGTGTCATATTGTTAATTTGTCAAGGGTAAGATGCTGATAAAACTACTCTATCCCAAAACACGCTTCTCCTTGGAAGGAGAGATAGTTGGAAGAAGAGAATATTAGAATAAAAGAAATTCCATCAAGTAAACCCCAAAAGTAAACTCTTCAGTTCTTACAAGATCTGTGTTCAGATGACAAAATCCAAAGACTGATATGAAGGCTGATAATTTGGATGAAATTTGTAGCCAATATATTTACCTTTCTAAATACTCAGCCAGTAGTTGTTCTACTGCAGAAGAATACATCCATTCATTTCCAACCTTCTTAGTGTAGCCAGGAACTTCTTCATTTTTCTTATTGAACTTCAGGTTTAGCCCCACGTTTGCTTTGTGATCTCCATGAGGACTGGAAATGAAAAACAGTTTAACTTGCAATAATGTATGTGTGTACATACATTAAAACCCACATAAACATACACCCCCAGCCGTAAATCACAGAAAAATTAAATTAATTGCACCGTTTACCTGTTAGCATCATGACACATGTAAATGTTACAGGACATAAGTTGCGCTACAGTAGCTGTCCACATGCATGTCCACACCTTACTGCAAAGGAGTGTAAGGAATATTTGACCCTTCTTCCTTAATTGAGATCTAATCAACCACAATACACCTGGCATTTAGCAAGATGTAGCAGGATGTCCATGAACAATCATTTGTGAACAAATGTACATGTTAAATCACAAGAAGATGCTCGTGCATCAACCACTTTAGTGAACCGTCCTAAGAAATCACAATTCTGACATTTAGAGAACTATAGGGATTATCTCCCTTACATATTTTAAGCAGTTTTAGTCTTAACTAGTTCTCAAAAAAAAATTATAGGTACAATTATTATCCCTTTATACTAGCAGTAATGATAAAAACAGCGAGATTAGATCACAATTCACTTGTTATTCTCAGTGTGGCAAAACCAGTTCGAACTCCTGCTTCAGTTGTGCAAATAGCTAACCAGGAAAGTCAATTTATGTATTTCTACAACAGTAAAACCAACAGAACAATTCTACTACCACAAACTTTTTAATTTCTGTTTCATGGAGAGAAAAACACTGTATTTGAATTTAGTTTACAGCAAATATCCTTTCAAAAAAGCTTCAAGTCACAAAACAGTTATAAGAACAGCACTTAAACATAGCAGAATTTCTGTAGAGTTCTATTAGAATCTGGAAGCTTCACTACAGTCAGAATTCACAGAGAGAACTTACTTTTTCTTTGATCCTCTTCCAATAAAGATACTCCCTGTAAATCTGGAGACAAGATATCCACTTACTCCAAGACGGCTGGCCAAAATATATGCAGGATTGTATTTCACAGAATATTTCTTTAAAACAAACAAACAAAAAATATTGGCAATTCCCAAATTATAAGGATTTTTATATAAAGGGCAAATGGATAATATGGAAAAATCCCTTAAAGACATTTAACATTGCAAAATACATCTGACACATTGTTTAAGCTTTTACTAGAAAACCAGAAGCACTTACATGCTGGTTCTGTATTAAAGGATCAAGCTGGGGTTCACATGGAATATTGAAAACTACACGAATTCTACCTTCTGTGATCACATCACGTGAATCTTGAACCTTGGAAAAAAACACAGCATATTAAAAATGTTATTAAAAACCAGCAGTCTTTGGATACTAGATCTCATAGTCTACCAACAATTGTGCTGCAGTAGCCAGAGATGTTTTAGGATTCATCATCTTGCCTTGATCCGTACACTGCTTCCTCATAGAGGCAAACAGCATTAAATCAAAGGAATCCATGACTAAAAACGGTCCAAAATTGTAACTCCATGTATTGCAAATTACCCCCAATAATTAATAAAAATAATCATGCATTCAAGGTGTGCTACCTTTTTCCAGCTAAGCCAGCAACAGTGATAGGGAAAGCAGAACCACCTCCCTCCTCTGACAAAACAATCGGGGAATCTTTGATTTAAAATTTTAGCTAGCAGATGACCACTACTGCCACACAACATCTTAGATTATTTTAGGCTTGCAAATAAAGAAATCTAGGAGAAAAAAATATTAAACTATTGGAACTAACTTCTCCCATGCAGCCATAGTAAGGAGATCCCAGCATAAAGGCTGTACTTCCAGGAGGAAACAAGTCATCCAATGTCTTGATGTTTGAAAAACGAGAGTCAAAGGCTTTGATATCCTACATGAAAAGACAAAATTGATAATATTAAATATCATTCAGTTCCGGTAGAATAATTTAAAAGTTCATATAAATAGATATTTATTCTAAAAAACTATCTCAGTCTGAAATAATTAATCAAAAACAAAGACATTAATGCTATGTTATAAATGCTGTTACACAAGCAACTATGCTACCTCATAGAGCACCACTACTGTACCTCATTCAAAATATCATCAGTAAAAAGATGACAAAAGCACATTTTTCCAGTAAGATCTCTTAACTGTGCAAGAGGGTCCCAAATTTTGGGACAAAATACTTGCCTAAGCACATTATATTTATTTGTGCGGTAAATTACATTAATTTATGATGCTTATTTTTATTAATTCTTTTGCTTTAAAGGAGCACACACTCCTTTGCATGCACCCCCACCCCAACGGAGTAAGAAACTATGTGCAAGAAGATACTAAACTTGTATATTTACCTTGACAACAGTTTGGTAAACGAAAGGAAGAACTTGTTTTGACCACTGCTTCTCCAAATAAACTTCCCCATTTTGGTTTAGTTGATATCTATTACCAGTGAGTAACTGAGCATATACAACTATTAATGTGTCATGGATAATTATTCCTTTTCTTCTCTGGTAGCTGAAATCAAAGCAGAACATTTAGTTTGATTACAATAAACAGAACTGAACCAAGAGAGTGGAATTAATTTATTGAAAAAAACCAAAACAAAATAACAAAAAGTTCTTAACAAAAGGATTCTAATGGTCTGCTTCCTGTCTTATAAAAAATACCCAGAATAAACAGCTTAATGAAATGCTTACCCATTGTTGCACAGACATCACTACGTAGCTAAGTGTGTCAGTCCAAACACATTTTACCTTTACGGTGTGAAGGGTTAGGAGTAATTAAGTCAGTTAACTTAAATGACAGGTAATAAAATGGCAAGCTACTGTAACTCAGTTGTGTTCCACTGGGCACCTGTAATCTAGAAGAACATGAGCTGTATTCAAATTTACTAATGCTAAACTACTGACGTTGTAACTTGATACTGTATGACTATTCTGTATATTTCCTACAAATGAGGATTACTAAAACCAGAACAGAAAATTGAGTAGGAGAGCAAATACCGAAACTCACTCATTTGAAAATTCTTTTGTAACAGCATCTAACTTTAAATACCTAGGGATTAACTCCTTATCCTCTGAAATTTCACCATAAGCTTTTTTACGTTGTTTTTTTTAATTCCATCAGACTCATTAACTTTTATTAAGTATGCAGCAGCTCTTCTCTGCTAACCAAGTCTGTATCACAGCATCAAAACATAGCTAAGCTATAAAATGCTGATACACTTTAATTTTCAAAGTTACTTACTGTTCTGAAATGCCTTGAACTTCTTTTAACCATATGGTTTGCTCCTTATCTCCAACGTACGCCACTTTAGTTGGGGGCACTGCATTTCCCATGTAAAGCTTCTGTGTGCCATGTGGTTCTTCCAAATAAAACCTTGAGAATACCATAACAGGTACAAATTTAACCGATTAATCTAGACATAACCAATTGTGAGCAAAACTTGAAGTAGTTAGAAATTGCTTGTTAAGGACATGGAAAACTTGCAGTATCTTTTTCTCTACTCCTTACACAACAGGCCATACAGCATATTTTTTATAAAAAATACCAGTATATGTGCTTAAAATAAGATTGTACAGAAATGTTCTCTTTTACATTATTCTGTGTGGATTTCTGTGCACATGTTTTTCCCTCAAAGTTAAGAATGAGCTCTCCCAAACTTCTACACCTACAGCAAAATACTGAAGGACTAGACTTCTACAGAGCTAATCAAACCTCACAACAATGTGAAACAAAGGTTCTTCCACCAAGCAGCCTTTGATAAATCTGGACTAATTTGCTGTTAGAAAGTATTACAATAAAAACAAAACTTTTGTACAGCTTAAGGAACTGATTTTGAACAAAACAATAAAGATGACAAACAACTGCATATGAAATGCCTCTTACTTAGTTTCTCCATCTGACACAGCAACAACTCTGGCTTCTTCAAGGTGTGGCCAGTTAACAAAAACACGCTTTCCAAGTACCAAACTGGCAACATTTTCTACTATCTGAAAAAAAACACAGACGTTACTAACGGTTTAAGGTATTAAAAGATTTTTGTTGAAATGTTTTCAATTGTTTTCTATAACTCTAGTTAAAGAACAGGTTTTCTTGCAGAATTAACAGCTCATTTTAGCGTATTAAATTAAATTTTGATACATATTAGCTAATCTCTGATTAGAAATAGAGAATCATATTTCATTTTTTAGGACGAAGTATCATATTTCAAGTGCAGCTCATTAAATGTAGCATATGTTAGCTGTAAGACCTGAGTTGATTTACATTGCTGGTATAGGCTATATATTTTTTTGTTAAATCACTTAGAACTATTTGTCTCTGGGACACAATAATCAGACGGACATTTTGAGATTAGTGAAATATTTTGTACCATGGATTTTATTTTTATATCTCACGGAAATAAACAGCACTTATGTCCAGGACTTAGGTAACATCTGTAATTTTAGTCTCACATTATGTTCTCTTTTTCCAATGAGTTTCTGCTATTTAGCTAAAGTATTGTTTTGGCTTATTTAATTCTCTTTGCCACACATCTTGGATATTCACTCTGCCTATCTCTAATACAAAATCCTATCTTGTTTTCCTCATCCCTCCTTTCCTGGTTTTATTTATTTATTTAACTCTGAAACTTTTTTCTTCCCTGCATTTGTCTTATGCTACCTAATATTTTTGATTACAAAACAGAGTTGGCTTTTAAACTATTTAGAAAAAATATTTTGCTCCTTCCTCTATTTCCTCTATCAAACAGTGTCATTTAAGTGAAAGGTGTAACTCTGATTTGTTGATGAAAGGGGACTGATCAAAAAAGAAAAAACGTCTATATACTCAGCTACACAAAAGACAAGAAGCACTGGTCTGAAGACTCTGCTTCCTTGCATTTATGCCATTTCCAGCTATTAATTAGTCAGGAGTGAGTCTCACCAACTCCTTACCTGAGAACATCAGATGGCTACTACAGAAATGCCAGAAACTCTACTAAGGAGACTGACATTTAATATTCTGAAGTCAGGACAAATTTAGATCTTTCAGCAGATTCCCAAAATTCTCGACTGTTCCTCACACAAATTTAGCATTTTAATCCTAACAAACTTTATTTTTTTAACGATTACCTTCAGTAGTTAACAAATGCTTTTAGTGTGAACTAATACTGTCGATGTTTTCAGTGAACAGATTCAGCTGATGTTTTCAAAATACATACTGAGAATTCTACCACTTAATGGTCTGAACTTTGGGCTGGGAACTAAGAACTTCAGAGTTCTTACTACAGCAATTAATTCTATGGCCTTGAGCATGCAGGCAGATTTCACCTTCCTATTAACTCAATCCTAACAATTTATACATAAAGCTCATTTTAGAAACAAGCATTACTAGTTAAATAAAGTTTTAAAACAATCTAAATATATTCTTTTAAATTAACTATTAATTATATTTAACTATTTTTTAACAAATGCTTGGGTTTTAATTTTTTTTTTTTAACTTTTACAGTACTACTCTATAAATATTTCTCTCCTGTAATACACTACTGATAAGATATAACCAACATTTCACATCTGACCATTTAACAAATTCAGTCTTTTTATGACAAGCTTTTTTGTCTAGTTTTTTGTTCTTTTTTGTTTTGTTAGGAGCTGAATGCTTACCTGTTCTTTTGAGCTCTCATCAGCTGTGATTTCTAACATCATGTTCTCTCCATGGCTGCTTTGCTGAAACACCTGTACACCACTTTTTCTAAGATAGAACTGAGTAAAAACAAAACAGCACATAAAACGTACTTGAACCCTTACATAGGTCCAATATTCAATACAATTGAAAATGTCAGAAGGGAGAACTCTTTTACCTTATGTTTAATGTGCTTTAAAGTAGGAAATCCACAAAAATATAGTGCACTCTTGTTAATTTTAGTTATCTTATTGTGGGTTATTTCTACGTGCCATGCATCCAAAGGTATTGTTTTATACCTAAAAAACAAGTTGCACAATGTTTGCTTGTACAGATTGACCTTCGGCTCTAGAAACTTATTACTCATTCAAACACTCATTCAAGCACTCTTTAATTGACAAACCCTTTGACTTCCCTAGAAGGTGGCAATTAACTGAAGCCACTTGGAATCTAGACAAAGGACTATAAAACCCCATGCTATGCCTGCAAAGAAACTACTCATTAAGAAAAAGACAAAACTTCAAGCCACCGTATATCCCAATCTCACTATTTTAATTAATTGCTACTGTAAAATTCTAAACTAGAAATTGTTCCACATGGTATCATTCATCTTCACAAGTATTCAGTATTCATTCTTGTCCAAGTGTAGTCCTGCAACAGGCATTCCTCCTCTATTTTACTTTAAGTTTCACTGCTATTAAGGTTATGTTCCCATTTAACCTTGAAACCTCAGCCTGTGTGAAATAAATCTGGCTACTTTCAGTCAGAGGAAAGTGAAAAACACACTTGTGTTCAACTCTGCACAGGATACAAATGCTTACATTTTTTTACAAATGATCTGGAATTAGTGTGCTGATAAACTATCACTATTATCAGATAGTTGTACCAGTCTTTCATCCTCTGTGCCACACAGTTTAGTAATTCTCTAGAGTGTTCTTGCTGACTTAGCATCGATTCAAGTGTTTTGCAAAGTAACATTTGAAGAAAAGGGACTATTACTTTCACCATGCCATCCACAGCAAGTAACACTGAATTCAACATTTTACGTTTTTGAGTGTATATATTGGCATATACAAGCTTTGGTTAAAACAACAGTAAAAGTATTCTAAATACTCTTAGTCTAGTCTAAAATAGTTATGCCAGTGTTACCTTGTATGACACCTTTCTATTGCAGGGAATTTCTCTGGCCACGGTGACAGGTACTGGAACTCTGCATCTTTGTCATACCAGTACATTAAGCAAGCACTGTGAGTATTTCTTCCTTTCTCTTCTTCTTTTAGGCACTTATTACAGGATTCCATGGCCTGCAGCAGTCGTTTCTGATTTTTAGAGAAATTACCATATGTGAAACTGACAACAAACGTTAGCGTGGAAACATCTACATTGGGAAAGTGGATACCTGCACTTTCCTGGTTAATGTGTTAATTTTCTATAAAACCCCAGAAGTCCACATGCCTTAATTAAGACTTCTGCCACTTGAAGCTGACTTTGCTTGTGGTAACTTAATCTACCCTTACTCTTCAGGGAGCAAACATTTATATATTTCTGTGGTCTTTTAAACTTCCATTTACTTGCATGTCTAATTGTTGATTAATTAAGGAGTTTAGCAGATTTGTTATGAAGCTTTTATATACAGCAGATGCTGAACGAACTTACCTCATCAATAAACGGAATTAATACTACAGCTTCCCATTCTTGCTGTTTTCCATTTAGGTCAGTTTTAAAATCCAGTGGATAATATTCTATAATTGGAGAGTCTTGACTAGTCATCAAATGCTAGGAAAACAATACCAAGAGACAATTTAGCACTAATTATATGAAGATACAAAGGAAGGCGGGTATTAAAATCACTTCAAGGCTGAAGAGGAATTCAACATTTACCATTTAACTGTCCTACTCTGAAACTTAGCAAATGCTAAACTTTGTATTTATTACTAACTTTACAATACACTAAGAATAGTAAGAAGTATTTAATGATACACTGAAATTTAGAGGTAGAATATAACTAAGAGGACATGCAAAAATATCAAGAGAAGAGTTACTTAAAAATAAAGCAGACAACCAGCAAACGATAGATAAATACAATTTAATGCTAAATCCTACCTGATAGCATTTAGGTAGCAGATCTTTGCTTGCTGCTGGAAGAACAGCAAGAAGCTGTTCAAATGGCATGAAAGGTTTTCCCAGTTCAAATTTGATTTTGAGTTCGCTGATGTTCCGAATATCTGACAGATAAGGTGCATAATGATAAGGATAATACCTGCAGGGAAAAAAACCTCTTAAATTATTTGACCTAATTATAGCACAGCAGCATTCACAGATCAAAAACAAACAGAACTACATTAAATGTTCCCAGCATACAAGGTGAAATATTGCTCGATCTTGAAACAATTTATCACGTGACAATTTTTTCTTACCAGCTCCATGATTGAACTCCATGGTAATAATAATGCAAAATCCATTGTATTGCCTGGACATAACATTCAGCTTGATCAGCCAAGAAGTCACTTAAAAGAAAAGGAAATATACTTATTAGTTATTCTCATTTTCAGTGGTATATAAAAATTACTTAGTACTTTGTACATAGGACTGAAGATTGAGCATTTTGGGAACCTAATGAAAGAATGGTTTTCTAGATTCATTTAATACAAATGCATTTTTTCTCTCTGGCCCTCAAATACTTGTTACAGAAAACTCAACTTGCAGCTCTTCCTGCATTAGCCAAAAGCATCACTGCTGCAGTACACTGCCATGTATTCTCTGCTTTTGACATGGATGCATACTCTGTCTTGTATTAGACATATGCAAAGACTTATCTTTGGTGTTTAAAATAAAACTAAAACCTAAAAGAAAATAGCATAGGCTTACTCAGAAACTACTTCTACACCCATTTTTGTCATGTAGTAAGTTCTTTTGTATTGCCTGAACTCCGTTTCAAACAGATCGTCATCTTCTGGTTCATCTTCCAACACAGCTGAAAAAGCAGTCATGAAAAAAGAAAATTAAAAAAAGGATTCAACATTCACTTCTCTACTACAAGCTTTGAAGACATCCAGTTTTGACTTAATGCCTTAATTTTACTCCCCAACTCAGGGTTATAGGTGTTCATATCTTCCTTTCACTGAAAGTGACATGAAACAAACAAAATCTTTACCCAGAGAAAATCTAGAGCCCATTTTTTTCTTTTAAAGACAGACAACCCAATCTACAAGAAGAGAGAATATAAATAATCAGAAAATAATCTAAGAAAATATTAAAATAAATTTTAAAATGTAATCTTTTTTCAGCAGCAGAATCTTATATCATAGAATAATATTTATACATTTTTGACATTAAATTTCAAAACAAGCAAAATACATTTTCTACAAATGGAATGAGTTTAAAAACATAATCAACACAACCAAAAACCCCAAAGCCATACAAAAATCTGTTAATTTGTCCCCACCTATATAACAAAATACTGAGGCATACAATTATCAAAAACATGTTGTTGAAGATTTGCTCACTCATTTCATGAATTCATCACAGAAATACTGGTCAAGTAATAAGCTGTTCAAAAGCTTTAGCCCCACTCCCTCTTACCATAAGCCCGTGCTGTGCAGTTCCAATAGCTGACTACATAAACTTTTCATTTAGATTAAGAATTTCATGTCAGAGTTGACCTTACAGATCTTCCAAATGTACACAGAAATTAACAAGATTTTTGTTACATGGAAAAATTATTTGCACTTACTTTTAGGGGTCACTTCACCTTCATTTTTTTCTAAAGCAGCCAAACATATAGAATTTTCCTGAGCCTATTAAATTAATATTTGAGATAAAGTGAAAATACAGAATAATATGCACATACCTCTTTCACAACCATATAATCTGCAACTCAAACTGCTATAACAAGATGTATAAATATTATTATTATTTAGTACAAAACCCACTACATTTCCTTCTCTTGTAATTGCCTAGGGAAAATTATTTTATCCATATAAATCAGAGAAAGGAGCAGTCTCAAATAAAATATCAGCTGCCTTTAAAAAAATATATGAATACTTGTTTTCCAAATTACCACTATTTCCAAAACTGTGCAGTACACATTTAAGCATTTTTACCTACATCATGCATTGTGCTACGGCACCAGTATGCAGTCAAATTTTTCATCAGTAAATTTTTAAGAATTTAAATCACTTTTGTGGTAAGGATACAAGAAATTGTGTTTCAGAGACCTTACAGACATATAGTCACTTCAAACAAGCCATATAGTCACTTCATTCTCACACTACACACTGTCTTTTGTGTAAAGCACTGAGTAGCTTTCATTAATCAGTATCATTAAGTTGGCCCTCTTCCTCTGTATCTGAGATATGCAAGCTCCTGACTGACTCTGCCATTCCCATTCCAACGATCAGTCAAGATGGGCAGCTAATACTATACAGCTGCCCCAAACTTCTGTGGCATATATGAAAACAACCACAAATAAAGCATACTTTATTAAAGCAAGAGCCAACATCTTGATCTTACAAACCACAAACTGCAGGAAGAACAAGGTAACGATATAGAGCGATAGATTAAATTTAAAGGAATTTCCTGCCACTACTCTATACACTGCTGAAGGCTTATATTGAAGTATAGCCAATAGAGGTGGTGGTGGGGAACATGACAGTGTGGCAGAGTCAAGACACAGAGAAAGGTGCTATTCCTTGTTAGTTATATCTAGAGTAATAACCAATCTGAGATAGCTCACACCGATTAAATTACTATTTATCTATTCATTGTCAAATAGTTGACCAATATCAAGACATGCCTGGATGATCTATCAGTATATCTGAAATGTATAAAACTTCCAGCAGGCTATGTACTGAATAGTAAAATTATAAAGCATGGTAAGTTTGACCATAACTCACCCAGAAGTTTTGCTGCTGCTGAGGAACAGATAACCTCACATAAAGCATTATGTTACAGATTTACAAGATTTCAAAAATCATGAGAACCTGACCCTGACTTAACCATTTCATCACTTACAACCAGCAATACATGCAGGCAGTTCCTCAAATGTACATTTTACTATCTTTTCTGATCTCAAAAAAACCTCAAAACAGATGCTTATGCCATTTAATTTGTCTAAGATCAAATTACTGACTTGCAAGAATTAACATTCTTATTTCCAAAATTATGCATGTAAAAAACTAACCTTCTGTTTCTTTTGTTTATTTTTTCTGGCTTCTTCTGCTGCAATACCAGCTGCCTCATTGAGGTATTTATTGCCTACTTTACTTTCAAACCATTTTAGGTCTACAAAGACCTCACTGAAGTGTTCACGATCAAACTGTGCAGAGAGAATAAAGTAAGTTTAGAAATATTTGAGGGATGCCAAATTTAGAGTGGTAAATTAACAATGTCTTTTTAGTATGCGCATTATATCTAGAATCATTCCTACATAAACATTTTGCCCTAGAGCTACAACTAAACTAATAGATCAATATTAAAAAAAACTTTTTTCTTAGCAGTATGTAACATATAACTAAGCCATATTTTGTTTTCTTTCAGTAAGGAAGCAACAGGTAACAAAAACAGTTAAATAACTTTCACACTTCACTATCACCTCTGAAGTAGTAGACGTATATAGGGTCTGGGTAATATGTGCCACACAACCAACACTTTCATAGCTCCACCCAAAAATCAGAAGACAGGGCTGAAGCAGGGACAGCAGATGAACTTCCTCCTTCCAAGTTCAGCAGAAGGCTGAGACCTCTCCACTTCTATATGGCCTATACCTTTTCTCATCTCTCGGACGGATTACTGCAATGGAACTTAACAGGACTGCATCCTGTATGCCAGTTAGTTCATGAAGAATGTTGATGCCTGCCTCAGAGATATTAGTGCTTCAATGCTCTTTACCAGTCATCTTCATGAAAAATTTGCATAAAATATTGCTCTCCTAGATTTTCAGACATAACTTACCCTACAAGAAACTGACCAGTAAGGGAAGCAAAGTATATCGCTGCCTGCAGCACACTTGGCCCAGTACTGCCACTCATTATTCATTGAGAATCAAGGACCATAATTCTACTGATGAATCCTCATTTGACTTGCAGTACTAAAACATGGTGGCTAAGGCATAGATCGAATGATTCAACCCTTTTCCTCTTATGTTCTGATAAGATTAAACAACAACTGATTGGAACCCAACAGTTAAATGATAAAACAGCTGATTGAACCACTTGTACAACAGTCATTTAATAGTTCATTAAACCTACATCATGGTATATTTTAGGGCACTGTATTATGGTTATGGTCAGACTGCACCATTCTATGCAGTGCAATTCCATGCAGTGCAATTTTGAAGTTACTTACATCTGACAATCTTGTGAGATATTTCTCAAAGCGTTTTAAATTCAGATGTCCATTCTCATTTATGTAACCTATTGGGAAAATAAAGTATGTTTTTTAAATTTACAATTTAAAAACTTAAAAATTTAAATTTAAATGCCCAACAGATAATAGAATGCAGTCTTGCTGGTTGTCTAAAGCTTGCTGGCTAAACATTCTAATACGGCTAAAAAAAGTGAATCAATATTAATGCAGGAATCTTAATGTTTCTACTTCACACAACTGAACTCAGTGTTCTTACCTCCCAGTTCTGGCAAGATAGCCATGTATGTTCTATAAAGTAGTGGCAGTGCATCATGATTAATGTGTAAATGAGGTAGATGAGGAATAAAATCATTTCCAACAAGGAAACCCATTAAGATCCAATCATCTATTATCCTTTCAATATCATACTCAAAGGAAATCTTGTCCTGCGGGGGAAGGGGAAAAAAAAAAAAAAAGGAAAAAAAGCAAAAAACCACAGGAGTATAATTTTTATTATCGTGTTTGCATAAAAAAGACCTCATATTTTTTCAATCATAACTCCATTGGAACTTACTTTTACTGGTGAAAATTCATAATCAATATATTCTCTCATCAGTGATAAGTGCAGTAAATGAAATGTGGTTTCCTCTGGTGCACATGCTCTGTAAATTTTTCAAAACAATTATTTATAAACACACTTCCAACGTGACTAAGTCTAAAGTTACCTAAAACCAAGTAAATCTTACAAAGTTTGTATCTTTGCAGAAGAAATAATGTATTAACATTTATTTGGATCCGGTTTAGGATTCATCTAGATTGAGTCTATAAAATTTTGCAGTAGAATCTTCTAAACAGCAGATGTACGGAAAACAGTGAGCTTAGAGAAAGAAGGGCAGCTTTGTAGAGTTCCATATTGCATTAACTATTTCCCAAGTAATTAACCCACTGTCCAAAAAAGGGACAATCTAACCTAACTTTGCACCAAACCCAATAAATTTAAAAGTATTTTAGAACTAGTCTGAGTACCTACAGAGTACACAGCTTCATGTCTAAACTGTCTGGGTTACATTTTCAGTCATTTAAAATGCTTCTTGTAAGAAAATAATATGCTCAGCTTGAAAATATGCTCCATATTATCTAGTGGCTTCAACACAGTACCAAAAAAAAAGACAAACCTACTGTTTGTTTATGGCATAAATTAGTCAACATATATTCTGCCTTCCTTTCCTCTCTTCACTAAAATTACTTAATACCTAAACTGATGTTGTTAACTAATTTTGGCCTAACTACATCAAAAGATTAACAAGCTGAAGACTGATATATTTTAAATTCATAAAGGACTATTTCACCTTGTAGATACTGTAACTAGCTGGGACCACCTTCCACGACAAACCAACATAAACACCTGGGTATTCACACATACACATTAGATTTTGGCCAAAATCCTCTGAGGAAGATGGGTGTGATACACTAGCTTACGTGAAGACTACTAAAACAAGCTCTAAGCTACATTTGGCTGCACAGAATTTCATACCCAATTCTGTCACTTCTTAAATTTAACTTTCATATTGGAAAATCCAGGTTGATGCTTCTAGATTCTAGAAACATTTTCTCCCTTATTCTTCATTACACTAGACTTAAAAATCCTGATAAAACAAATTTATCTCAATCAAGAAATGGCTTACAGATAGTAATTTTCTTTATATTTTCAAATTTCCAACTGTAAATACTCATAAAAGTGACAATATTGACAGAATGCAATTCCTGTAACTTCCAGAAGTAAATTCCTGTAATGAACAATATTATCCAGAAATTACAACAGGAACTAAATATGGAACAATGCTTGAGGGAATAAAAATATAATGGCCCCTTGCCTTTTGATTTTATACTTTATTTAATTAATCCCTCAAAAGGTCATCACACTTTCATATTATTCTATTAAAAAAAAAAGGCAAAACAGACATTTTTCTTTGATTAGACTTAAGGTCTTTTAAAAACATTACAATATTATATGCCAACACTATCAACAGAATGAGTATTAGTGAAAATTTAACTGATTAAGACTATGAAAAGAATACTTATTTCTGATGTTTATCATATTATTCTTGGTAATATAAATATTTATTAGCAAAACCAACTCATTTATCTAAACATTTATATGGCTCATCACTGTATTATCCAAAATCCTTTCTGTATCAAAAAAGTATTTGTCTCTCTGACCTTTTCCCTATATCCACCAAACATATGCTTAAGGTCCTTCAAAGAAGAAACCTAGCCACAGTAACAGTTATAAAATTACTTTTTATATTACATCAGAACAGCTTCATGTACATGCGCAGTTCTGGAACAGACCACCTTTTTCTGACTGATTACAGCCCACAAATTAATTCAAATGGGCAAATCTGGAATAAGAGCATCCAGTCAGCCACTTTAACCCCCCTGTTTTAGTGACCCAGTGTATTTTGGATTTAATGTAATCTTATATAAAATAACAGTAAAGTTAAATAAGCTCACCTTTGAGATTTTTTACCACCAAATCTGACTTCTTCTCTTAAGAGCGCAAAGTGCGCCTCATGACTTGTTAATCCCAGCATAATCTATTACAAAGAGATATTAGATATGTCTTACTTCATTTTTAAAATCTGTTATTCAAGATTCAAGCAGTACACAGAAATTTTGCAGTTCTGTTTCATTACAAACTCAAAAGTTTGCAAGAATACAAAACAACATGCTTGTTTAATAACAGTTTAGAAGCTAATACGCTTAGTAAGGCATCAAAGACATACACACTTTATAAACTTCTGCTGTTTGTATTATTTTAATTGCACTTACCAAGTCAGCATCTAAGCCATAGAGACAATGTCTTGTGTTTGGATCATGATGGGGCTTTGCTTTTTCTGATCTGATGAACTCCATAATTTTATGCTCACCTTCCCCCGGAGTCTGAACAAAAACACCCCAAATTCATCAGTAAGTATTTTTCTATAAAATATAAATCTACTTAAAATATCAACAAAATACAATGACCTCATGGCCTGATAAGTAGACTGTTACTCCTTGCCAGGATTTGTCTGTGGAAATCTTCATATTTACAAAATATTTAAGATGCTCATGCAGTCTGGCCATGAATTCAGTTCCTGAAAACAGAAATCTAAGTTAAACACAAAGCTTTTCATTAGTCATTCAAAATTGCAAACACATATTAAAACTATTAATGAAAAAAGCAACAAGTGAAAATTTTGCAAGAGACAAAGAGGACAGCTGTTTTTTTTCCGCAAGAGGTTTAATTTTTTCCATAGTAATCTAAAAAAATTTTTAGAATCAGATAGTATTCCATTCCAACCCTCGTAAAAGTTATTAAATCTTGTGTTACCAACTTAACCGAGCCTTTATTGATTCTGTCCTCTAATTAAAAAAAAAAAAAAGAAAAGCCTTAGGACAGGAAAATACTACCAAAATATAGATGCAAAAACATAAATCTAAACACTTAAGTAATCAACAAATTATCTTACCTGGTGTAATACAATTGGAGTCAAATCTGGCTTCTGTAGGGAGAGTTTCTCCCTTTTCTAATGCCTTTTTTATTTTGTCCTCTGCCTCTTTTGCTGACCTAAAACAAAACAAGGTTGAAGACAGAGTGAGTAGAGAAGGAATCATCATATTCAAATGTTAATATCCTAAGTACAGCTTTACTGACAAAACACATATAGTTGGTTTTTAAAAAGCGTTCAAAAAAAACCACAAAAAAACAAAACAAAACAAAACCAGGGAGAAGAGAAATTTAACTCCTGAATTGAGTTTGAACTTGTTTCTGATACAACTGGAAGGCTTAAAAAAAGTGTGGTTTTTTTTTTTCCCCTAGTGATGATGATGTGTCATTACTCAGATACTGTTAGTATTTAGATTACCAAGATGATCATTCAATGGCTGATCACAATGAATCACAACTGAAACAGTAGGAATACTCAGGATCTAATCTGAAAATGCTCTCCCAGACCAATAATGGTAATGTAGTTAAAGAAAGAAGCAAGTTCAGAATACCACTGAGGTAGGAGGGGTGAATTAACCATTTATCATCACTAGTAATGGAGAAACAAACAAACAAATACAATCTTAGCCTTTCTTGGCCAAGGATTTCAAAAACACTTTTGAAACAGAAAAAGAGAAGCCACCATCTTAGATTTTTGTCCTTCTCTCAATTCCACTCCAATTTTCTATTTAGAACTCTTTCTTAATCTCTTCTTCCTCTCAACCTCATTTTTTCCTTTAAAAAAAAAAAAAAATCATAACAAAAAAAACACCCAAAACCCAAAACCACAAAAAAAATCCAGTAACTTTTCCTCTTGTCCCTGTCTCCCAGTTCATTTCTACCACATTTCACTCACCACCCCTGCAGTGTGTGACCACTGGCTTTCTTTCCTTACAGCAATCGCCAAAGATGTTTCCACATCTCCCAAAACATTAATATAATTCTTAACATCGTGAAATCTACTTGCAGCTCTGTATTTGAGCTAGGTTGCTAACTGCTATCAACACAAAATCAGTTTCATGAGAAACTTAATTTCCTCTATGACTGTCAAAGAACATTCCGTTATAGTTACCAAAACAGCATATCTAGAATTAGCATTCACAAATACCAAAGATTCTTACAGGTTGTGAAGCCATTGGAGACATCTGTAAAAGCTCCACTGCAGTTATTTCACAGAAAATTTCACAGGAAAAAAAGTTCCCTCCACCCCCAGGTCCTGCATACACAGAAAAAACCCTAAGCAACAAGTGAACTTTCCTTTTTGGAATCCTGATTTTCAGTATTAACATTTTACATGCAGTTACCCTCATTTAACTAAAAATTAAAGCTACTGTCAAGGGCACAACCGCTCATATTTTACTCTTCATGGTACACATTTAAGTAATTTTTTTTTTTTTTAAAGTGTTTGCTATCTTAAAGACAGAGAAAGAACAAATATTCTCACCTAAAACGTCTCCCACGCTGCTGATTCATTTTTGCTCTTGGAGCTACTCCATCAACTGCCATGAAGAAAACCTTCCTTGGTTTAATAATGCGAAACAGTACTTCTAAATAGTGAAAAATATCAGCAAAAATCTTATCTTCTGAGATTCTGAAGTGAACATCATCGTCATTTGGATGTGAACATTGATGTATAATGCCATTCATGTCCAGGTATAAGTTGTCAAATTCTGGAATCTAGAAAACCCACAATTAGTACCCATCTGGGGACAGCTGAAGCAATGCAACCACTGCCCTAGAGTAACTCTGGAAAGGAGCTGAAGTGGGAAGACCTCCCTGGAACCTACTGCACACCAATGGGCAAAGAATATCTTGACCCGTTTGAAACAAAAAAGGCCCAAACAATAGGCCTCAAACCAAAGTTGACTTCTGAGTGAATTCCCCGACGAGCAACCAGAAGCAACCAGCATCTTACCAGCATGAAATGCAACCATGGGAACCATCCCTGAAAATTGTAAGTAAACAACAGGAAGTAACTATAAATCCCAAATGTAAAGAAAAACAGAAAACTCCTCAGACGTGCCTGGATCCTGGCCAGATCCAGACACGCCTGAGTGAGGCATGTCAATCTACCAGCTATCTCCCGTGCATTTTGTATAGATTTGTTTGTTAAACGGTATAAAAGCCAGACCCTCTCACAGCACAGACGGAGACCTCACCTACGAGCGGACGCCCTGCGTGGGACTTCCCAGCTGCCGGGACAGGCTCTCCGACCCTTCGCTGTGACGGGGCTCCCCAGCTGATGCACGGGTTGGGGTGATGGTAAAGTATGAGGGCAACTGGTGATGTATCTTTCTTAACCACTATAGCTAGCTTTAGGTAGTAATGATTAGGTGCATTACCTTGCTTATTCTTTCTGCTGCTTTAAACTAAAGTAAAATAAGCCTATTTCTTTAGCTTGGTGTCTGTGTCCTTTGTGTTAACCCCGTCAATTGGCAAAACACTGGTTCCAGGTTTGTCTGCACTTGCAATCCATTATTATGATTTTCCCAGTGAAGTCAGCTGAACAGATTCCTATCCTATCCTGACTGTTTCTGTTACCTCAGGACTTCTGTCACGTGTGCTCGGCCAATCTTCTACATTGTGTAAGGGAAAAACAAATTAAAAAAAAAAAAAAAAAAAATTAAAAAAAAAAAAAAATCACACTTTTCAGGAAGTGATTACTTTTTTTTTTTTTAATAGCCCCACACATTTCACTGATTCAATCTAGCATAGATGCACTATAAACAATAAAACCTACAAAACTGACTATGCAGTTTCCAACAATAATTCAAAAGCAAAGCCATTTTGAGCAGCTTTAGGGCTCTCCTGCTGTTAACTAGTTCCTCCCATGACCGCTGCATGCTCCTCTTTAGCTGCGCAAAGAGCCACCTGTTAGTAGACTGACAATTCCCACCAAAAGCAGCAAAGTTATTGACAACTTCAATTTCTTTCCCATGCTTTCCAAACATGTTGTGTGGTTTTGTTTGTTTTTTTTTTTTTTTCTTCTGTGTAGTTCCCTGTTCTTCTACCAGCCTTATCTGTAGCAGTCCAACTTTCTTTTAAAGGAAAAAGCTCTCCTCCAAATGTACACAAGCAACATATAGAGCACAAACACTGTTAAACATATGAAGCAAAGGGAACATTATCTACCTTTTTGTTACTTAAACACACCAAACATTCACAAGAGCAATTTGCAATAAAAAACCTAATTCTTTAATCCACCAATATAATTGTTCATAAAAATCTTCCTGTCATTACAATTGGAAAAAGGCACTGCTAACTTTTTGTGATTTTCTGTAGTATTACTGCTGACATATCTTTGCATAATTTTGAAAGGGATGTTGTTGGACTTGTATTTATCATCCAGATGCAAGAGAAACATAACTCTGTTTCAGAAAGAAGAATGATGAAGAGAAGAAACAAGAGGCACGATTGGGAAGGATCTCCAGCCACCTGAAATACCTAGTCTTCTGTTGTGCATAACAACAGAAGTAATGTAACTTCAGTACAGTTAAATTTGGTAATCAAAGTGCTCTCAAGATGCTCAAACACCACATCATCCACACAGGCACCACTTTCAGATGGGAGTGGGGCCTCGCACAGGCAGCATTCTAAAGAGATGAAAACTAAAGCTTTTCTATGGAAGCAATGTATATATGGAAAACAGATGACCTTTGAAGAAGCACAGCTATAATAGGATTTAAAAATAATGATGTGTTTTACACAGGAATGGACTTTTATTCTGGGTAGGTTGTTTTCTGTAGTAACAAACAAAAATCTGAATCTAGATGCTAGTAAGTGTCAGTCTGTACATTCAAGCGGTATGGCAAAGAAAAGGAAAAATGGGAATACATGTTACTGTTGAAGCTTAATATCACAAATAGCAATCTAGACAGTTTCTTTTCTCTTTTACACAAAGCAAATATTCCACATAACACCATTATCTAGTCTTTAGAAAGACTAACTAGAGAATAACATTAGCATACTTAAGGGTTGTGCTTTGTCTTTATCTTAAGAGCTCTAACAGCCTCTTTCAGAAAGTCTCATGAGTACTACCCGCTGCTGCTATCCCCATGGTTAGAGCAGACACATGCTGACCTCTCAGTTTACCAGAGTTCACAGTTCTTCAGCAGAAGTGTAAAGCTGCCACCAAGTTCAGTGAGTAGCCCAGGCTTTTAACAAAACAGCTGAGAAGCCAGCATACGCTGCTGCTGCCTTGCTACCCGGGCACTATAAGACACTATAGTGAAAATCAACAAATCATAAGCAAAGATCAAAGCTTTGAAGACTGCTTTGAAACCAGAAGGAAGAGTCAGACATCCAGGCTTAGAATCACTTGAGCAGGGCATCTCAGATACATTGATAACTATTTAATCTTTTAAAACTCTGTTTAAGAAAAACGTATTAACACTCAAACATGCTCTCAATCACCCAACTCATCTCAGAACATCTGTATTCAGACTATAAAACCACATCCGTAACGCCAGTTGAAAACGATAATGAAAAGTTAAGAGCTTGGGTCTAACAGGTACCAAACACGACTTCTGTGAAAACAAGACTTTGTTGCCTGACTGTAAAAGCATTATTTGCGGCTTGCTTTTTTTCAGGCTTTAACATACTTTTCGGTTTTGCTACTAACACCAACTATCCGACGCGTGTGACAACAAGGAATGGCGGCAAAGCTGCAGAACCTGTCCCTCGTCGCTGCCGTGCCCCCGGCCGCCAGCAGCAGCCTCGGCCCTGAGCCCCGTGAGGAGCGAACGCCGCGGGCCCGCCCGGTGCCGGTGCCGGGGAGCTCGGCGGCGCCTCGGACGGGCGCGGGGGGGACCCCAGCCGCGGGGAAACAAAAGCGAAAGGCGGGAGCCCGGCCGCAGGGAGCGGGACACCGCCGCGCTGCGGGGGCCCGCTCCGGGCCGCGCACCTCCTCGAGAAACTGCGCGGCTTCGGGCCGGCTGCTTCTGCAAACAGCACTCGCACGGGAGGAGGAGTGCGAGTGTCTGCGGCGCTGGCGGTACCGGGCTGACCGCACTGCTGTAGGCTAACGGCGACCTCCGACTGGACATTCAGGGTTTCGGGGGGCCCCCGAAAAGCCTCGCCCGCGTCCCAGCGCCGGCGCAGCCGCCAGCCTCCGACTTTTGGCCGCTTCGAGCCGCGAGTCCCGCCGAGGCGCGGCCGCGGGAGCAGCCGCCCGATCGCCTCTCAGCGACCCGGCCCCGCAGGCCCAGCCCAGGCAAGCTCGGCCGGGGACCGGGCCCGCTCCCTCGCCCCGCCGAGGGGCCAGTCAGGACCCCCCTGCTCCGTCCCGGCGCGGGGACGGGCCCGTGGCAGGCGGCGACGCTCCGGTCCCGGCTTACCTGATGCTCCTTCAGCACCTGGCTGAGGCAAGGGTACCGCTCCGAGATCCACCGGTAGAACTTAGGGACCCCCATGGCCACAGCCCCCCGCCGCCCGCACAGCCCCGCCGGACCCCACCAGCCGCGGGCTGCGCTCCGCCTCCCTTCCGGCGCGCCGTGCTGACAGCCGGGCCGCCCGCGACACCGAGCGCCGCGCGCCGGCCATAGAGAGCGGGGTGGGGCGGGGCCTGGCTCCCTCCCGGCAGCAGCGCCCCCTGGCGGAGCCGCCGCCTACCGCACTGAGGGCCGCGGCCCTCCCGCCTCCCGCGGTGCTGTGACCGTAGTCCGGGAAGAGCAACGTAACGCCAGCGCTCACCCACCCCCCCCAAGGGAAAAGGTCGTATTAAGTGCCAAAGATCTTACTTGGAAAAATCTGCAGAGCTACGGGCCAGTAACAACACCTTCTGAACATAACACACTACTTTCCCAGAGAACCAAAACCCCTTGTAAACCTGTTATTCAAATTCCGTCTCCAAGGTGGCTGGAGTTCAGCTGCACCAAAACTCCGTCTCAGAACGTGGTATCGTTGTGAACAAAAGCCAATGGCATTGTTCATCACTCAGCAGAAACAAAAATACTGTACAACAATTCTAACGATACCTTGCTGTAAGGTAAAGCGACTATAATTTTTACTTGTCTACCTCTTCATTTCTCTACAGTTCAGATGCCTAGAGAAGCGTCACTGTAACTTAGTATGTGGCTTGTGAACCTATTTAGTTAGTCTACTCTTGTCCATGTCAGACGGAGTCTGAAAAGCACTCACTGCAGCCATGCTTTTTACAAGGAAGAGAGGGTCTGTCCAAAACTCTCAGGAGCCTGTAAGGATGTTGAAGTCACAGCACACCGCACCTGCGGCACTGCTGGCACAGCCATAGTGCCAGTGTCCTCTAGTGCACAGCTTCGTGTTACTTCTCTCACAAGGGTTGCTTAGCACAGCAGGCAAGGGCTAAAGAAACAGTTTCAGAACATTGGAACACTTTATCAGTTTCCTCATGATAAAATTTAAGATCCCAAATGCTTTTCTAGATATAGCCAGGCCCTATGGAAGAAAATTAAAGGAAACCAAAATTCAAGGCCTAATGCTGAAAAGAAATACTAATTATTTTTAGAAAGCCCTTCTGCACTGTGATTAGAAAAGATTGAAAGAACTGCTTTACACCATATCAGTATAAAACTTTAATGTCATATTTTCTAATCTACAAGTAAGCTGAACGAGAAAAGTCTTTACAAAATTATACAGTACTTTATAAAACAATACATTCTTTCAACATTGTGAAAATTTTTCATACAAAGAAACCTGCAGACTTACAGTCTCATTTTTAAGCAGTTCCTATGTACTGCCTTTATAGGTATACAAAATATACCACCTTATACATGTGCAAGTGTGTTCATAACATATTTGCAAGTGTATTGTATATTTTACATAGATTTCAGATTGATTATAATGATTTCTGATTGTAAGCAGCAGAACAGTAACAGAGTTAACCAGTTATCACTGATTTAATACCTTCTCAAGAATATTAGAGCTATATCACTTGCGAATGGGATCTTTCCAAAGTGAGCAAATTTCACATATATGGAGCCCAGCCCATATACATCTGACAGAGCAGGTTGTCATCACTTGCTTCTTGAATAAGGTAATGAACATGCCCTTCAATAGATAAGGGTAATCCTTTTATTCTGTTTCTAGTCTTGATGACACCTTGCAGGCGTTGTTCTATATCAAGGACGTGGGTTTTGGCCTGGAAACAAAGGAAAAAAAATCTTGCTACTATCCATGAACATCCACTTCTTAAAATAAAAAAGTATTTATTAGGATACGTTTGAAATCAGTATGCTAATGTAATACAAAACTCAGATGTCTACACCAGTTAACTTTGAAAATAAAGGATACTCACTTTTCAAAATCATTCTTTAAAATGGATAGGTTATTGGTCAAGTTATAACTTCTGCCTTGCATTTTTACAGATAAAATTTACCAGAGAAGACAGAAAAAGCTATGCAGATGTATTTGAAAATGTGAGAATGCTTTATTTCATGCAATTGCTTTGAAACAAATGCAAAAATTTCACAGCCTTTTTCCTGGAATTCTGGATGAAATTAAGTAAGTTATCTAGTCTGGAAAATTTAGGCCAAAATTACAAGCAATTGAAAATGAAGAAGTCTAGTTGTGCTGAGCAACTCAAAATGAGCTGTTCTGAGGCCCACTAAAGTAGCTAGTTCATACCAATTATAGTCACACATTTTCTTTTAAAGCTCAAGCACAACATTGGCACCTATCCAGAAAAAAAATAAAATATACAACTATATGTGTGGTTATGTGACTAAAAAAGATTATGTAGACACAGCCTTGTTAGTAATTGTTTGAAAACCAGCTGATTTTCTGTGCTCAAATAGCTCAGTTTAGTTCTTTGTTGTAATATACCTTCAGTATTGCAGTTTGTCCTTATCTTAGTTGCTGTGTGTATCAGTGGTCCCTAAGTTTTATTTGCTATTACACATTTACTTTCACTACACGTTCCTTTTAAAGCAAAAAAAAAGACAAATCAGAATTTTTGCAAAAGGGAAAGAGAATAAATATTACAGGTTGTGCAAGCTATATTTTGGATGAACAATATAGTACTTAGCAGCAGCTACAAAAGAAACAGTACACATGAAATCCTAAATGTAACCAAGTATTGCTTGACATGTAACAAGGCACATATTTATTCAATAATAAACATCCACTCATGAAAAGCACAAAAATATGCATGGAAAGGACTCCAAATATTACCATCACTGTAAATGTGGGGGACTGTGCAACAGTCAGAGTGACGGGTAGCAAGAGCCTCACCTATCCTGTTGCTTCTGCTGATGTTGTCCTTGAGTTAGTAACACTAGTAAGAGAATGAGCGGCTCTATTTTGTTTGGCTCTTTAGTAGAAAAATTATATGTTCTATCAATAAAAACAGTCTCTCTATGGATAAAAATTATGAACACAGAGATTATCAAGAAGAAACAACCAGAGGAATTTTTAAGTGAAAGAAAAAACAAGACAGTTAAGGTTTCAATTAGAAAATGTAACTTGCAACCATAATGGACTTTAGACATTTTAATACATTATGCTACGCTTGTTTTAAACTAACCTTTTCATTGACAACTTCTCCAGTTTCGTTCACCTGGGCTTTTGTATTCCCTTTAACAGGCTTGCTCCATTCCACCAGAGGATCATGGAGAAAAGTCTTTAAGACACTAAATACATTAAAAATAAAAAAGGACATGTATAATACATTTAATTATCAAAACAAGAACACTCACAGGAGTCTAAAGTTAGCACCGAATATTTATATTGTTTTATATTTAACTGCATGTCTTAGTAAGACCAAGGTGCATGATAGCAGTTACTGTTTCAGATGTTTAGACTATGGCTTTTTCAGAGTTTGTAGCAAAACAGTTGCCATACCTCATTAGAGGCTCCCTTTGATCACGCATAAGCCTCATTGTGACTTCACAAGCTCTTCGGAAGAGACCTTCCGTTCCCATTGGACCCATTCCATTAACCATGTTGTGAGTGAGACGAAAAGGAACAATTTCCGGAACTTCAAAAGTTTCTCCCTTTACATTGATAAAAAAAAGAGTATGCCTTAAGCATTTTAAGCATTATTAAAATAAAGCATAACATTTGCATTGGTTTGAAGGTTTTTTCCCCCATCTTTGTCAGTGAGAGTTTCCTACCTGACAAGATTTGCTCAGATCACGGTCCTTCTCAGCAGTTAAAGGAAAATGTGGGTGAATAAATGATACCAATGTACAAATATTCTCCTTTTCGCTGTTTTAATAGACTAGTACAGGGTATATAACATTTTGTTCTAAATATATATCACTGCTCTGTAGTCTCATGCAAAACTCTTATCATATGCAAGTTAGCTCAAAAACATTTTTTTTTTAAATCAACAGCTATGCAGGACAATTTAGATTTACTAAAAAAGGAAGTAGGAGAAATAAACTAACGATATCTCTACCTCTTTATCTTATTTAAAAAGGGCACATGTCCCACACCAAAAGCATCTTTCTACAGAAACACTAAAAACACAAATCTCACTCTGGTGATAGTTTTTGCTGTTTATTTTTACAGAGCCACTAGAGTTTTTGTGCTGAATTTGTGTGCGAAAAGCAAAGAAACTTCACAGCAGCAGAATTCTGAATGTAGCAATTACGGATTTATTTGGAGAGTGATAGTGGAGAGAGGAGAGCCACAAAATACAAACACTCAAAATTTGGGCTATTTCAGTGTATCCACACCTGTTCATCTGATATCAGCCAAATCAAAAAGCTGGCTTGCATTAATGCAGTATAGAGAACAATCATACTCCTTACATATCCCAGACTGTTGGGTATAAATACAACACAAAGTGAGAGAGATAACACAACAGTAATGTTAAAGTAAGAAAATGTGGAAAAAAACCAAGACAGCAGATGTTTATAACTTACATGCATGTAAAATAAAAAGCAAGTTCAGCAAGTGATATTTCTCACCTTATTGAAAAGGCAGTTGAAATCTACATGCACACATTCACCAGTCAAAGAATCAAAGAGGATGTTTTCACCATGACGGTCTCCTAGACCAAGTATGTAACCCACCATTGACATAACTGCAACAGAACGACAATAGGCTGACCTACTATTGTACCTGCAGAAATAAGAAACAGATATGTCTAAGTCACTTCCCTGGGTTACCTGTCTTTATTCAGTAGTATCATTAATGTTTAGTGAGACACACAAAGTAGATATTCTTGAGCTAGCCCAATGCCAGTCACTCACCATGAAGTAGGATCAGGAAAAGTTCTAAGAAACCATTCATGAAAGAGAGGAGGGTGACGAGGCAGAAGGACTTCTTTGAACATTTTCAGCTTTTCAGCCAAAGGTGCTGACTTTGGAAGCATATGCTGTCGCAATTCTTTTCCAGTCATGTAGATGCCTGTAATAGACCTCCTCCATTAGACAAAAGAAATCTCCAAATATAACGCCTTATATATACTATTACTGTATTACAGTGTGGTATTTTAGAGAAGATAAACATCTCCATAAAACAAAAATACTGTTTATGGAGTAT